AAGATGGAATGAAATGCTTTTGCAATAACATTTACAAGTAGATGCATGACAAATCAAAAAATGTATTCAACAACCACTCGCTTTCAAGCATGTCTGAATTCTCTGCATGGTTTAATATTCTGAAAGTTAAAACACAGAGCCTCCTTCATTCATTACTTCATTTACACGAAACTGATCCACTCTGACTCCCCCAAAATGTGAAGGTCTTGTTTAGTTGTTAGAGATATTAGATGCATTGTGCTTTTATTTCAGTTTGGTCATCTGTAATAAACTCAGTGGTGGTTATTTTAATAGTAGTGCTGTCTGTTTTCAGTGTACGTCCCCCAAAGAAGAGCTGGAAGAAGATCTATAATCTGTCTGGAGGAGAGAAGACGCTCAGCTCTCTGGCGCTGGTGTTTGCTCTGCATCACTTTAAGCCCACACCGCTCTACTTCATGGACGAGATCGACGCTGCTCTCGACTTCAAGAACGTCTCCATCGTGGCCTGCTACATATATGTACGTCCACTTTCCTGTTTCAGGGCATTTTTAAAGCAGTTTCAAAGCCAAAGAGCTGTACATGAGGAGAAAAATAAGACTAATGTAAATACCATAATAATAATAGGCTGGTAATCATAAAATATGCAGATGGTTTAAAACCAATGTGGAAATCAGTAAATCAACATTTGTTGAACACTGTTAAAACAAAGCTTAACCCTTGTGTGCTGTCTAGGATGTTTTCATTTACTCTGGGCTGATTTTGAGTCTTAATTTGGCCACAACGTTCTGTTTAAGGTCGTCCTGTACTTTAAGGAACAACAAGAGTGAGTTCAAATTGACATTCACATTGCGCCCACAGAACTGCCGCTCACTGGATGTTTCCTTTTTATCAGACCATTCTCTGTAAACCCTAGAGATAGTTGTGCGTGAAAATCCCAGTAGATCAGCAGTTTCTGAAATACTCAGAGCAGCCCGTCTGACACCAACAACCATGCCACGCTCAGTCACTTAAATCCCCGTTCTTCCACATTCTGATGCTCACTCTGAACTGCAGCAGATCATCTCGACCATGTCTACATGCCTAAATGCAGTGAGCTGCTGCCATGTGATTGGCTGATTAGAATTTTGCATTAACAAGTAGTTGTACCTAATAAAGTGGCCGATGATTCCTAACAGGAAATATAAAAGTGCATGATTTTTATTTTTGGTCTCTAACTTCCTCTGATTTCTTGCAGGAACAAACCAAGAATGCCCAGTTCATCATCATCTCTCTGAGGAACAACATGTTTGAGATGGCCGACCGGCTCATTGGCATCTACAAAACGCACAACACCACTAAGAACGTGGCCATCAACCCCAAAACCATCATCCTGCGAGAGATCCAGACGGCATGAGCGCAGACTCAGTAATGCACCATCACCTGTTCTGCTTTCACATCGCTGTGCTCCTGTGAGCCTTTTACATGTCTCCCGTTACTCTGCTTTTTAATTTTAATTTTTAATAAAATGATTTTTATTCGACAGAATTATAGGTGTAGCCTATCGACTGTTCTCGTGTTTTAACTGCACTGCAGCTGGATATTTTAAATGAACAATTAAATTAGGTGTTTTTACATTTCAGACCTCAAATCCACGGTAATAAACCACAATAAGCACTTGTTTTTGGTTTTGCTGCTGGAAGAACGCCACACTGGCTGCTGATATTTATTCATCTGAGACTTGGAAATGTATTACAAAAAAAAAACACAATTCCTGGCTTTGAAGACTTGTGTAATAAGCAGTTTATTTTCATTTCAAATAGTGAAAGTGCTTCATATTTGTAGAAGCTCAAAAGGAGCAAGTGGGGAAAAAATAGAAAGTACAATAAGTTGATAAAATATTAGGGAGTCCTGGGAGAGACCTGAGATGAGATCCTCCACCCCAGGGCTCCCTCCAGTTTGCAGGTCGAGAGGGGAGTTTGAGCTCAGGTAGATCTCCAGAACTCCCCTGCTTCTATATCTATGTTGTCGATTTATTTTGGTCAATACACATATGTTTCACGTCTTTGGACTGTGAGAGGAAACTGGGGGAAAACCCACGTGAGAACATGCAAACTTCACACAGAAATGTCCACTGGCCTGGTAAGGGCTTGAAGCTGGGACGTTTAAGCTGTAAGGCGACAGTGCTGGCCACCTTATCTAACAAAAATAGGAGGAGTAGAGTGGAAGAGGGGATTTTTCAAGATGACATAACTGAAATGAGAATAACTTGCATCTGGTTGTTTATGTTGAGTTAGGAATCCTCTGATTGCAGAATCATGTGTTGCCTAATGCAGGACCAGTCATGGACAATCAAGAGCATGTGATCCTCTTATTCATTCATTTTCTTTTCAGCTTAGTCCCTTTAATCTGGGGTCACCACAGCAGAATGAACCGCCTACTTATCCAGCATACGTTTGAACATATATGCGAATGCCCTTCCAGCTGCAACCCATCACTGGGAAACATCTGTACATACTCATTCACACACAAACAAACACACACTATGGACAATTTAGCATACCCATTTCCCCTATAGCGCATGTCTTTGGACTTGTGGAGGAAACCGGAGCACCCGAAGGAAACCCACGTGAACACTGGAAGAACATGCAAACTAGGCACGGTATAAGACTCTGACGGTGTGATAACCTTGGATAAAAATATCACTGTTTCACAGTATTGTGATTACTGCGCTGAATTATATTCTTTTTAAATGTCTGAGTAAAAAACACAACTTTTTTTATAATATATTTTATTTTGAGAAACATTTTAAATATTTTGAAACGTTAACGTCAGGCTAAATAATGAATCATTGACTTCTGCTTTGTCTTCATTAGTTTCAAACACAGATTTCTTAATCATTTAAACAGAATCTTTAGCGATATTTTCTGCTGGAGATACTGTCGTCCTAAAAAAAGAAAAATCTTACATGTACCTTAGGAACGGTGTAAGAGAAAATTTTGGCAGTTTTAAAACCTTAACTTTTCCACACCGTGGTATACCTTGAAAATGGTTATCATCCCATGCCTAATGCAAACTCCACACAGAAATGCCAACTGACCCAGCCGGAACTCAAAGCACCGACCTTCTCGCTGTGAGGTGATTGTGCTACTAACCGCACCACTGTGCAGCTCATACTTATTTATTAATAAACTTCACAAAGTTGTATTCAAGCCTTTAAAGTCTTGCTAATATAATTCTTTGTGTGCTCGCTTTAAATGTATACCTAGAAAATTGTGTAGTGTTTAACTTATTTCTACACTTGGTCTTAAAATCTTAAGTTGACCATTCTAAAACCTGCAGAACCCTATTAAAATCCATCAGTGTGACCATCTGTGCGAGCACCCAATAATGATGGAAATGAAGCAAGATTAGCATATCAGAGAAGATTGGACACAACCTGAGCTACTCCCGAAGACTTTCACCGTCGTCATGCTCTTATATAACTGTTCTGTAGTCTGTGCACCGATGTAATGCAGTCGCACAAAGAAGCTTTTGTTGAACGATGAAGCACTGCCAGCTATACTGGATCTGGCTGCAAATACAAATCAGTGCTTCATTTCGTAATACTTTCTCTGTAACAGTTTTATAATAAATATATTTTCCAAAATTAGTTTCCTATTCATTTCTATGATTTCCTGTGCAAAAGAACATGGTGAGAGAGCTTTAAGACACATTAATTACAATATTATAAAAAGACGTCATGACATCTTTAAAAACGAGCATTCTGCGGGTTAGATCTGTATCAGTACTTATAGCTGTGGCGAAACATCGCTCCAGAAATCAATTCTGAGATTTTCAAAATTCATCATTATTCTCTCTTAAATTATTAGCAAGCTTAGATATTACCAGCAGATGTTTAAAACTCTAATGGCGTCTGCTGTTGAAAACTAGAGTGCGGCACTCTAAAATAATTTTAAACAGCAGACTGTGATCTAGGCTAGTTTTTAAATACTAGCCTAGATTACAGTCTGCTGTTAAACACTAGCCTAGAGCGGCATCTGCTGTTAAACACTAGCCTAGAGCGGCATCTGCTGTTAAACACTAGCCTAGAGCGGCATCTGCTGTTAAACACTAGCCTAGAGCGCCGTCTGCTGTTAAACGCTAGCCTAGAGCGCCATCTGCTGTCAAACGCTAGCCTAGAGCGCCGTCTGCTGTCAAACACTTGCCTAGAGCGGCATCTGCTGTCAAACGCTAGCCTAGAGCGCCGTCTGCTGTTAAACACTAGCCTAGAGCGCTCACTGCTGTTAAACACTAGCCTAGCGCGCCATCTGCTGTTAAACACTAGCCTAGAGCGCCGTCTGCTGTTAAACACTAGCCTAAAGCGCCATCTGCTGTTAAACACTAGCCTAGAGCGCCCACTGCTGTTAAACACTAGCCTAGAGCGCCGTCTGCTGTTAAACACTAGCCTAGCGCGCCATCTGCTGTTAAACACTAGCCTAGAGCGCCGTCTGCTGTTAAACACTAGCCTAAAGTGCCATCTGCTGTTAAACACTAGCCTAGAGCGCCCACTGCTGTTAAACACTAGCCTAGAGCGCCCACTGCTGTTAAACACTAGCCTAGAGCGCCCACTGCTGTTAAACACTAGCCTAGAGCGCCCACTGCTGTTAAACACTAGCCTAGAGCGCCATCTGCTGTTAAACACAGCCTAGAGCGCCATCTGCTGTTAAATACTAGCCTAGAGCGCCCACTGCTGTTAAACACTAGCCCAGAGCGCCATCTGCTGTTAAACACTAGCCTAGAGCGCCATCTGCTGTTAAACACTAGCCTAGAGCGCCATCTGCTGTTAAACACAGCCTAGAGCGCCATCTGCTGTTAAACACTAGCCTAGAGCGCCCACTGCTGTTAAACACTAGCCTAGAGCGCCATCTGCTGTTAAACACTAGCCTAGAGCGCCATCTGCTGTTAAACACAGCCTAGAGCGCCATCTGCTGTTAAACACTAGCCTAGAGCGCCCACTGCTGTTAAACACTAGCCTAGAGCGCCATCTGCTGTTAAACACTAGCCTAGAGCGCCATCTGCTGTTAAACACTAGCCTAAAGCGCCATCTGCTGTTAAACACTAGCCTAGAGCGCCATCTGCTGTTAAACACTAGCCTAGAGTGCCGACTGTCGCTCAAAACTAAGTTCAGATTTAATTCAAGTGAGATTAAGCTTTGCACTTTAAACATCTCAGAAACAGATTCCTCCACAGCTCTAAATTGTACGACAGCATTAGTAGAAAACTGGTCTTGTTCATATGGCTTGGAAAAAAAGAAAAAAGAAATTTAATGTGGTCACGATGGTCGTCAGGTACCACAGGAGTCTAAACTCAGTACTGGAGGGCCAGGGTCCTCCAACTTTTTCCAATTTAGGGTGGGGCTATCAGTAATTTAGGGTGTGTCTTGTTTGTGCCCTACTTTTGTCTATTCGTCTTCCTTCATTTTGTTAGCAACGCTTCCAACGATCCAACTGATTTTCAAAATGATGAAATCATCCACTGCGCTACATTTTTTTCTCATTTCAAAGCAGTTTCAAGTGCATGTACGTCACAATTAAAGAAGAAAAAAAAACAATCTTAACTTCGGTTTCATGGGCTGCATCTGAAATCGCCTGCTAGAGTATGCACTGCATTTGAATTTACTACACGACCTTTAGAATAGTGCGATTCATTTAGTATGACTTGAAGTAGTATAAATGAAATTGGGACGACCTATCGCATTAGTTGTAGGTCAATCTGTTATTAGTGTACTATATAGTATGCGATTTCAAACACAGCCATTGTGCTTTTGACATCTGCGCAATGACATCTGCATGTGATTCAGACGCAGTCATGGTGCTTTAACACCAGTGTAATTCTTTTAAGAAGCGGAGCAGCCGCTGATGTGTGTGTTCTCCTACAGTAGAGATGAATGCCTGTAATTTACTGCCAGTGTTCTGCAGCACACAACAGAAGAGCGCGCCTAGATCACGCAGTGGCTGACTCAGTCCACTCAGAGCGTTTTCTCCAGCCTGACGGAGAGCAGAAAGCCAGTGTGTTCCTCTATTGAGACAGAACAGCAGCAGCAGCATGATCACACATAAACACACACAGATCCTCCAGCAGCGAGTCTGATCTGAGACCTGTGCTCTGCTGGTTGAGCAGCTCTCTGAGTGCCAGGAGATCTCTGGAAGTGGCCCGTCTCTCAGATCTCTGAGGGTCACATCGGTCCAGTGTTTTTCAATGAATCTCTCGGCTCGTGGGCTCATCTGAAGGCTGGGTACAGTAGGCATCGGTGTGCAGTTCAGAGTGTTTATTCGCTCCCTCAGCTGATGCACCTTCTCCAGGTACTCCAGCGGACTCTCCTGGTCCTCCTCCATGCTGGAGATCAGGATCTGCAGCTGGCTGTGCTCCTCCTGCAGACCTTTCAGCTGCTCCATCAGCGGCTCGTAGGCCTGATTGAGAAGCACATTCGCCCGCTCCAGCGCCTGCATAAACGCGGTCAATAATTGTTATAATGTACTCGTTCTAGTTACTGTAGCTTAGTTTTGTAGTAAGTGCAACTTTTTTTCAGGTTAACGCTACTTAATTTTTTTAGTTCCTACAACTTAATTCTTAAAGCAAACCAATTAAAACATGCAAAACTACAACAATGGAAGTGGAAAACAGATGCCACCTCAGTCTTCGTAAATGAAGTTCTTATAACCTAATTTGAGTTTTTGAATCTGAATTTTCCTCGTTGCCGCCACTTAACTATAAGCTAGTGAAACTCTAATTGTCAAATCTAATTTTTACTAGTTATTTCAAGTTAATCTGACGAGTTGGTGCAACTTAATTTTTTGAATTGTTATAACTTATTTTTTTTTAATTATCATAACTATTTTTTTCTAGTTACTGGCACTACATTTTTAAAGTTAGTGCAACTTATTTTTTAAATTGTCATTTAATTTTCTTCTTACTCAAACTTAATTTTCCTGGATAATGCAACTTTTTTATGTTAGTGCATTTCATTTTCAAACTTTCTAGTTCTCATACCTTTATTTTTCCCAGTTACTGAAACTTCATTTTATTGTCATAATTGTTCTAGTTGCTGCAACTTAATTTTTCTAGTTCTCATAACTTAATTTCTCCTAGTTTCTCCAACTTAATTTTTTCTAGTTTGCGCTAATTTTTCTAGTTCCTACAACTTAATTCTAAAAGCAAACCAATTAAAACATGCAAAACTACAATAATAAAAGGAGGAAAACAGATGCCACCTCACAGTCTTAGTAAATTGTTCTATAACCTAATTTTTTAAGTTCTCCAATTTTTTGGAGTTCTCATAACAATTTTCCTCATTACTGACACTTAATTATTTAAGCTAGGGAAACTCTAATTGTCTAATCAAAATTTTTACTAGTTTTTGCAAGTTAATATGACGAATTAATTTTTTAATTGTTATAACTTTTTCTAATTCTCATAACTTTTTTCTAGTTACTGGCACTAAATTTTTAGATGTTAGTGCAACTTATTTTTTTAATTGTCATTTAATTTTCGTCTTACTCAAACTTAATTTTCCTAGATAATGCAACTTTTTTATGTTAGTGCATTTCATTTTCAAACTTTCTAGTTCTCAACTTTATTTTTCCTAGTTATTGAAACTTAATTATATTGTCATAATTGTTCTTAATTGTAATAATTGTAACTTAAATTTTTTTAGTTAGCGCCGTCTAATTTTACTAGGTCCTACAAATTCATTCTAAAAGCAAACCAATAAAAAAATGCAAAACTACAATAATGGAAGATGAGGAAAACAGATGCCACCTCTCAGTCTTGGATAATAAAGTTCTCATAACCTAATTTTTTGAGTTCTCCAAATTTGAGTTCTCATAACAATTTTCCTTTTTACTGCTAGTGAAACTCTAGCTTAATGTTATACTAGTTATTGCAAGTGAATCTGACGAGTTGGTACAACTTAATTTTTCAAATTGCTATAACTGATTTTTTTCTAATTCTCATAACTTTTTTCTAGTTACTGGCACTAAATTTTTTTAAGTTAGTGCAACTTATTTTTTGTCAATTTTTCTTCTAAAACTAAAATTTTCTAGATAATGCAAGTTTTTCATGTTAGTGCATTTCATTTTCAAACTTTCTAGTTTGCACTTTTTTCTCCTAGTTTCTCCAACTTAATTTTTTCTAGTTTGCGCCGCCTAAATTTTCTAGTTCCTACAACTCAATTCTAAAATCAAACCAATTAAAAAATGCAAAACTACAATAATGAAAGATGAGGAAAACAGATGCCACCTCACAGTATCAGTAAAGAGTTCTATAACCTAATTTTTTTGAGTTCTCATAATTTTTGTTGCTGCCACTTAATTTTTTAAACTAGTGAAACTCTATATGTCTAACTTAATTTTTACTAGTTATTGCAAGTTAATATGACGAGTTGGTGCAACTTCATTTTTCTAATTGTTGTTATTCTTTTCTAATTCTCTTTTTCTAATTATTGTTCCTAGTTAATAGCACTTAATTCTTAAAGTTAGTGCAACTTATTTTTTTTTAATTGTCATTCATTTTTCTTCTTATGCTGTGTTCACACCAGACGCGGAACGTGTGGATAAATCACGCTATTCGCGAGTAAATTGCCGCGTGAACATTTGAGGTTACTCGCTTCATTCGCGCGTCAAATCCACTTCATTCGCAATAATGCAACTTTTTCGTGTTAGTGCATTTCATTTTCAAATTTCTAGTTCTCTTAACTTAATTTCTCCTAGTTTCTGCAAATGAATTTCTCCTTGGTAGCGCTGCCTAATTTTCCTAGTTCCTACAACTGAAATCTTCTAAAATTAAACAAATTTATAAATGCTCAAGCACAATAATAACCTGCATGAACTGCTCCTTCTTCTGGGCCAAGGTGAGCTCGAGCCCCTGGAAGAAAACCAGCGCCACCTCTCGATCTTTCTGCACCAGCGCTTCACTGCGGGTTTTCTCCATCTGAAGCTGTTCGGCCAGACGGTTCATCTCCTCCCAGCGCTCGCCTCTTAGGCTCTGGATGAATGTGGGCTGGTCGGTGCGCTCCTTTACATACGCCGTCTGCAGATCATCGATTTTATGTCCCTGGTGCTGCCCGATGGTCAGACAGAAGCCGCAGATCAGCTTGCGGTCCTGCACGCAGTACACATTGAGAGGCTGGCCAGGATGCTCAGGGCAGGATGGAGAACGGGGGCGACTCTCACGTTGGTATTTTTCTACGATTGCACGCAGACACACGTTAACCGGAAGCGCGTCCAGGCCGTTTGTGGGCAGCTCTACTACGCTGCGGCAGTTGGGGCATTTGAGGGGCAGCCGGAGGGGTCGCCAGATTGAGAAATTAACCGAGACCTGCAGCACGCTTTCCAGACAGCTCTTGCAGAAGGTGTGTGAGCAGGGCAACACTCGCGGATCCGTGAAGAGCGCGTAGCAAACAGAACACGTCAGATCCTCCTCCAGACTGTCCATCACCAACTTCAAGCAGTTCTTCCTGTAAACATAATAAATTAATAGATTTATTTAAGTTTAACAATATTCATTCATTCATTTTCTTGTCAGTTTAGTCCCTTTTTTAATTTAAGGTCTCCACAGCGCAATGAACCACCAACTTATCCAGCATGTTTTTACGCAGCGGATGCCCTTCCAGCCACAACCCATCTCTGGGAAACATCCACACACTCATACACTACGGACAGTTTAGCCTACCCAATTCACCTGTACCACATGTCTTTGGACTGTGGAGGAAACCCACGCGAACACAGGGAGAACATGCAAACTCCACACAGAAACTAAACCGAGGTTCAAACCAGCGACTTTCTTGCTGTGAGGCGACAGCACTACCTACTGCGCCACTGCCTCGCCAAATTTAACAATAATAAATGTATACTGGAGTGCATGTTATGTCTGCGGACAGCTTTCCCTGTCAATGCCTATGAATGGTACTTAAATTAGGGATGCAACGATTAACAGATTTCACCATGGTAAATTAATCGTAAGGCTTCTCAACATCACATTTCTGCACGTAACAAAACTGCTGCAACAACTTTTACGCCAACTGTGCATTTGTATAAAGTTTCAAACTTGTACACCATACGCACACTGGATTAAAGGCTGACTTAATCTATGGCGAAGGCTATTAATTTAGGGCCGTTCACAATATCATGAATTTTGCGTTCTGAGAGTCACATGACAAGAACTGCACTGATAAGCTGTATACTTTGTATGAAAAATAAATGAAAATACCAAACATGTTTGTAAAATAGTTGATCAAAAGTGCCGTTCAGACAGGATCAGCAGCCTTTGACTAGATTTTTTTTGTCTTTAAAAGGGAAATACTTGGATGATATGATGCTTAGATTTACGTTAGACAAAAACTTTTGTTTAAAATGACTCTTTTTATGTATTTATGCATTGTTCTGTCATTTGTTTTCAGTGTAAAATTATTTGTTTAAATGTTTAAATAAACACTTTTCACTTATTTTTACTTCAAAATAAAAACAAACAGTTTATTTCTTTCTTTGGGTTTCTGAGCAGCAATAAACAACACTTTTTAACAACATTCCCATCCGTATGCAAAACTTAAAGGAAACCAAGTCTTAGCAGCTTTTTTAATTACAAGTGTCTAGTAAATGTCATTAAATTACAATTTAATTAAACTGCATTCACCTAAAACGGTGCTTTTAAAAAATAATTCAAATCTTTTTGGCAATTTTTTGAAGAAAACCAATAGATTTCAGAATTATTTGGAGAAGTGATGAAAAATGCATAATGCTAATAAAACTAAGGCTATAGTGATTGTGGAGACAGAACTGAAGACTCATTTGCATGACATTTATATATAAACAATAAATTGTTCAACTGTGGGAGAATTAAAATGTCTTCATATAAAATCGACTACCTAAAATAAACCCGCCATGATAATGTACTTAAGGAAAGTGTTCACGATCCCCACTCTCTACTCACACAGGGCTTATTTTTCCATTATAATGCATATGAATATTAATAAAGACAATCTTGATGCATAAATGAAGTAAAGCATGTTGACAGTTTTTACAGACGCTAGGACACATTTCTCAATACTTGGGTCACTTCTGCAAAACTCTTCACACAATTCTCCAGACCGACTTTCAGCTTGGCAAAGCAGTTCATTTCACATTCAAAACGCTCCACGACTACCAAAACACTGTATTCAGCTCTCAAATAAACTCATTCCTCCAGAACACCAGCAAAGGAGGACAGCCCACAAACACACTCTGTCACCCACAAAACAATAAGCTAAACACACTAACAACAATGTGTAGCATTACACTGAGTGTTCTGGTGTAAAACAAGGACACATCTCAGTTCATAACTGCAATATATGTTGCTGGAATGAATCAGACATGATGCAGAATATTTTAAGTTGTTTATTTATTTGTATTTTATTTTAAGCAATTCCCCTGCTAAAAAATCCAGCTTAAACCAGCATAGGATGGTTGGCTGGTTTTAGAGGGGCTTTGGCCACATCCAGGCTGGTTTCTAGCCTGGTCTTAGCTGGTCAGGTTGGAAAATGACCAGCTAAAACCAACTTGACCATCCTGGTTTAAGCTGGACATAGCTGGTTTTGGCTAAGCTGGTCAAGCTGGTTTTATCTGGTCATTTCCCAGCCTGACCAGCTAAAACTAGACTGGAAATGGCTGGAAACCAGCCTGGAAATGATCAAAACCCCTCTAAAACCAGGCTCAACTAGCTAAAACCAGCCAACCATCCTAGGCTGGTTTAAGCTGGATTTTTCAGCAGGGTCCAAAATACAAGTATTTGTGTACACACCATCCACTGATATAGAGACAATAGTATAATATAATATGATAATATATATATATATATATATATATATATATATATATATATATATATATATATATATATATATATATATATATATAATATAATATACAATAGTTATGCTAATCTGGCTGGTTAAACTGCATTTCTAGATGTGAAATGTGTCTCGATAAAATGTTTCTGTTGAATTTTGTTGTCTTATTCAGTTTTGCATGATGTTATTGTTTTGAACATCAGTTCTGAAAACAGTATAAGCATGTGCAAAATGTCCTGTAAGTACACAGAGTTTTGTCAGTTGTGTCTGTGTGAGATATGGGCATTGAATGCAGTTTGTGCCAAAACTATGAGGATAGATCCTCAGTTTAGCCCACTGAGACTTCTGTTGTGCTTCACTCTGTCAAGAGTTTAGCAAAAGTGTCCCAACTATTGAGAAATGTGTCCTAGCGCCTGTAAAAGTGCATTTACACACGTAATAACAAGTATGAAAAGTTCAGACGACATCACTAAAACTACCTCCAGCAACAGTTGTTGAGCCGCTTCACTGCCTGTAAAATATGATAATCAGAGGACATGAAACAGATGTTAACTCTAGCGTGTTAATGTTTATTAAACACAAACAAGCGCAAACTTACCGAGTCAAACCGAAATACAAACACTTCCCACGCATGCGCACAAACTCAACTTCCCACCAATCACATCTCTTGATTTTACGTCTTGAATGCAACACGCTGCGTCTTGAGACGGAAAATGTGATTGGTGGGAAGTTGTGGTTGAAATTCGCCCTGAAAACTCAGATGAACAGTGATCAGTCCGCTGTATTTGAGTTTATAATCTCGAAAAAGTTTCCGAGGTAAGTGACTCAACCGAAATGGTAGGAAAGGGAAGAGTTTAAAGCTTCATAAAATGATTAATTGACTGGAATCGGTTGAATCACGGCACACGGGCGACACCTGCAGTTCACAACAGTTAAAACAGGGCTGCCAGAACACGCGCCAAACAGGTGTCGAGAAACGCACCCCTGCCGTGAAAATGCACCGCTTTCATTAGGTTTCTCAACAGTAAATAAAATCAAAGGCCACGATTGATTAAATTGCAGATATCCAACACTGGCCACACCCGTTCATGACACCCGTTGACGCCAGAATTGAACATTTTGCCGGGCTCTGCAACGTGCACTCGTCTCACCTATATATATATATATAATTTTAATTAATTATTAACAGTTGATTTGTTTGTAATTGTAAATTTGTTGCAACTATAAGTACAACAAATGACCAGTAATTAATGGTTTAAAAATAATATGTTGCTTACAATGAATTACTATAGTATTTAATGTGGGAAATCATTAATAAAAACGATATTAGACAAAATAAAATACTATTAAATGGCTTGAGTGAAATATTAATAGTGTTATGCATTTGTTACACGTAGAAAGATTTTTATTACATATAAAATGTTTCATGTATTATTTTTATTACATATTTAATGTATTATTTTTATTACATATTGAATTTATTATTAACAATAGCATATTAACTTGCTATTATTTCCCTTATTATAAATGAATCCATTATATAAATCAAACCTGTCCAATTTAAATCAAGACATACAGCAATCGAGTATCTGCTATAGACTCCGACAGTTCATAATTAATGACGGATCATCTATGATGACTGATAGAAAGCTGATCAGTCTGTTATATTGAATGGCAATAAACAACACTCCCCATTCGCCCTTCTCGATTGCAGTATTTGTGAAATTGTAAACACTTTTGCTTATTGTTAATAGTATTTATTAACACTATATACAAATATAAATTGATGAGGAGGTCTGAGAAGACGTTAATAACATTAACATCTGTCGTAACCATATATGGTTTGACTAGATAGAGTGTGTGCTGGATAGTGTGTGCCTGGTTCTGCAGGCCTGCAGCTGGATATCCAGGGGTGTCCAAACTCAGTCCTGGAGTGCCGGTGTCTGCTGAGTTTAACTAGCTTCAGCACACCTTTTATTTTGATTAAATGTGCAACAATTTCAAAAACTCTTTTTCCACTTTGTCATTATGGGGGATTGTGTGTAGAATGTTCAGGAAATCAATGACTTTAATCCATTGTGGAATAAGGCTGTAACATAAACAAATGTGGGAAAAGAGAAGCACTATCAGTACTCTCCAAATGCACTGTACATCAACACATACAGTTGAAGTCAGAATTATTCGCCCCCCTTTGATTTTAATTTTCTTTTTTAAATGTTTCCCAAATTATGTTTAACAGCGCAAAGAAATGTTCACAGTATGTCTGATAATATTTTTTCTTCTGGAGAAAGTCTTATTTGTTTTATTTCGGCTAGAATAAAAGCAGTTATTAATTCTTTAAAAGCCATTTTAAGGACAAAATTATTAGCCCCTTTAAGCTAATTTTTTCCTGATAGTCTGCAGAACAAAAACATCTTTATACAATAACTTGCCTAATTACCCTAACCTGTATAGTAACCCTAATTAATGTAGTGAAGCCTTTAAATGTCATTTTAATCTGTATAGAAGTGTCCTGAAAATTGTCTAGTAAAATATTATTTACAGTCATCATGACAAAGATAAAATAAATCAGTTATTAGAGATGAGTTAATAAAACTATTATGTTTAGAAATGTGTTGAAATAATCTGCTCTCCGTTAAACAGAAATTGGGGAAAAAATAAACAGGGGTGCTAATAATTCAGGGGGGTGAATAATTCAGGGGGGCGAATAATTCTGACTTCAACACAGATATACTTCCTGACCATTAAAATCTAATTTTGATTCTCGTCAAATCTTTTAACCGCAGACTGTTGCTGTTATTGTTTGTACATTCAGCAGATTCCTCCTCCTCTTGATGGTCACCTGTGACTCGAACAGTCCTGTAAAGTGTCCTGTGACACTCTCAATAGTTACACCACTGAATTGAATGCTAACATGTCGATGGTTTTGTGTCACCCAAGGTACCATTTTAATGTGTGAAGAGTCTGATAGTTTGCTAATCACCACATTTACTCTTGAATTGCCTCATTTAAATGTGCATGCTATACAGATAATACACCCCAAACAATAAGTTTACTCTAAATATAGTGAAGCTTCATTATAATGTCATTGTTGTTGGTTTGGAGTATATTATTTTGACTGCAAAGTCTTATGACAAACTGGCACATCGTGTTTTAATGGTACCACATTATACACACACATATATATATATGGGTCAATGACGTGACGCTCATTTGTGTCCATGTCTTTTAAATAAATTCAAGTAGGTTACAGTTTCAAAATAAATAAGCAAATTACTTGCATACATTCTCTATTATGAGGACCAAGTCAAATTTTTTTGGTTTTAATCCATTTTAAGATAATTTTAAAGGGATTATTGCAAGAATGTCAATGTGGTGTAACCAAAAAAAAATTGGTACCAAATAGTTTACCTTGTTTAAAAAATGTGAAAGCCTCAATGAAACATTGTATCGGCTAGTCTGGCATAATTTTACATTAGACATATTTAATAGTAAATAAGGTTAATATAGCACAATTGTTTTAAATATTATTATTCATTTGGGTAATTTTGTCGGTCACCTCAAATTTCTGAAATGTCAAGATGGTGTAACCACCATTCATTGAGCCATTTTGTTAATATTGTGCACAAGAGAGTTAGACAGGAAATTGTCCATCACAGAATAACAGACGCACTACTATTATAACTGGTAATCTGGCAAACATGTATTCATTCTGTGTTTAAACGGTGCTGCAGCCTAAGAACTGTCCTCCACAGAATAAAAGATGCACTACTTTCATCACTCACTGGTAATCTGGTCAGCTTATTTTCAAAACTGTTTTAATGAAACTGCACAAGTGTTATTAATGGGGCGAAGCAGTGGCCCAGTAGGTTGTGCTGTCGCCTTACAGCAAGAAGGCCTCTGGGTGGCTGGTTCAAGCCTCGGCTCAGTTGGTGTTTCTGTGTGGAGTTTGCATGTTCTCCCTGCGTTCGAGTGGGTTTCCTCCGGGTGCTCTGGTTTCCCCCCACAGTCCAAAGACATGCGGGACAGGTGAATTGGGTAGGCTAAATTGTACATAGTGTATGAGTGTGTGTGGATGTATCCCAGAGATGGCTTGCGCTGTAAAAAAAGTAAAAAAAAAAGTAAAAACTTGCTGGATAAGTTGGCGGTTCATTCCGCTGTGGCGACCCTGGATTAATAAAGGGACTAAGCCGACAAGAAAATGAATGAATGAATGAATGATCTATTACATTGATTGATATAATTATAGTAACCTATGTTAAGGATGTTTAATCAAACAGTATTTTGATGTTAATAAAACCAGTAAACATAGTTTGCAGATTTTCTAAATTGACCCTAGTAGCAAAGACTTCTGGCCCAGATTTGGCATGAATCTGGCACAGCAGGCGTTCATCCGGCACTGGCATACAGCATGTGGGCCAAACATGGCCCGGGTTTGGCAGAGGTGGCACCGTCTTTAAGGCGGCACACAAGATTTGGGCCAGATGTAAAATGTAGTATTTGGCCCAGATTTAAAAATTTGATAAGTGGGCCATGTGAGTTTGGCCAGTCTTGACCCACATTTAAAATACACTAAAATCATTTTTGAGTAAAGAAAAAAAATTCTACCAATCAGGTCACTTTGAGAAAAAGCGTGCCCATAGTGTGCCTAAAGCGCATCACTCCATGGGTTTATCAATGTCATTGCAATCGTGACACACCAACCTATCTGGCCCAGTTCAGGCCCAGTTATGAGTTATTAACTTGGCTGAGACTTGGCCCAGATATGGTCTGTGTTTGACCCTTGTCTGGAAGCCAGATTTGGTCCAGTCATGTACCGTAATTCACTGCGGCATGTGGGCCAAGCAAAACCTGATTGTGTGGGCCAGAGCTGGGCCAGAGAAATTTTGCTATGTGGGGAGTTTTATCTCACTGTTTTTACACTTTCTTTGTGTAGTTTTTATCCGCACCAGAAAGACATGTCCTTTTAGTTATTACTGAGTTTTTTCTTTATTTTTTATTTAAATGTTCTGTGTTTTAGTAGAGATATTATCTCTCTCAAGGTAGGCGTTGCAGATTTGCAACAGTTAAAAATGAACTACCTTAATACTCCAGATACATATTTTATGAGTTTTTATACTCAGAAGTACCACTGCAGGACTCGGTTGTCCATTTGCAATAAGTTTCCCCACTTGCTCACCAGATGACACACACAAAAAAGTTTCTTGGAGTACCACATGACAAAGTGATTTGGAAACATGACCTACTCAATGAGGATTTGAGATTTTGGATTTGGATCTCATGTTGCTTTAGTTGTTTTGCCACTGAAAAGCAATTTGTTACATTGTTTGAAAGGTTGTAAACAGAAAGTTATTGTTCATGTCATATTCAGTCGTCAGTGTCTAATTACCACACTGAGCCAATGTTGTAAATCTGAAACATCCCAGAACGCCTTGCATGTGAAGGTCTCTCTAAAAAAAGTCAGGATTACGCCATATGATAATTTTCCCCAAATATCAGAGTTTTCCTGTTTCCAAAAATTCAATTGAGCCTGAGAGGGTTATCTGAGAGACTTTGTTTGTTCACCAAATAAGTGGTTCTAATTGGATTTGCACTGTAAACACTACATAAAACTAAAACATTTGTTTGTTAGTTTGACAAATTAAGCTTTTAGTTATGATACTCCCAAAATTCTGCATAAATTCTTAGATTTTCTACACAATTCTTCAGAAAAAATTGCAAAAAAATATCGGCAGATTCCCACATAGCAAAATTTCTCTGGCCCAGCTCTGGCCCACACAATCAGGTTTTGCTTGGCCCACATGCCGCAGTGAATTACGGTACATGACTGGACCAAATCTGGCTTCCAGACAAGGGCCAAACACGGACCATATCTGTGCCAAGTCTCAGCCAAGTTAATAACTCATAACTGGGCCTGAACTGGGCCAGATAGGTTGGTGTGTCACGATTGGAATGACATTGATAAACCCATGGAGTGATGCGCTTTAGGCACACTATGGGCACGCTTTTTCTCAAAGTGACCTGATTGGTAGAATTTTTTTTCTTTACTCAAAAATGATTTTAGTGTATTTTAAATGTGGGTCAAGACTGGCCAAACTCACATGGCCCACTTATCAAATTTTTAAATCTGGGTCAAATACTACGTTTTACATCTGGCCCAAATCTTGTGTGCCGCCTTAAAGACGGTGCCACCTCTGCCAAACCCGGGCCATGTTTGGCCCACATGCTGTATGCCAGTGCCGGATGAATGCCTGCTGTGCCAGCTTTATGCCAAATCTGGGCCAGAATTCGTTGCTACTAGGGTTCTGTCTGGCCTTAATACCTATTAGTAGTAGAAACACTCAGACTAACACATGGACAAATGGTAATTTGTTGTGTACGCAAGTTTATTTTGAAGCATTTTACAGCACACGTGATTCAGTACAGAAGTCTTCTCCTAAAGTGGACGGGGAAATAAACCATTGTAGTTTTCGTTTCCTTCTGGGAGTTTCTGTCTCATTCTTCCAGCAACACATGAGGGAATCACCGCTCTGGTCTGTTGCCCCACATCGCTCCAGCACAAGAAGATGAAATTTAAACATGCCAGGTGTCTGTTACGGCTGAATGAAACACAGGTCAGGTCAGATGTTGCTCAATTTACATGAGGTTTGATAGGAGAAATGGAGATAATAAACATAAGATGCATTAACGTTCGGTAGCAGACTTCATTATAATGTTACTGAAGCGACAGAGCACAGTGATGGATCTTTAAAACCAACCTGTTGAGATCTGGGAGTGTCTTCCCATAAACATCCTGATATCTGCAATAAGACACCTGCAGGACGTCTGGGTTCAGAGTGACAAGCTCAAACCCCGGGTGGTTTGTTATGCAACATACGTTAACCTGGCCACATTTGTGCTTCACCTATTGGACGAAAAGCAAAGCATATTACTCGGTGTAGACTCTGACATGATGCTGTATGAACTGTTTGCTGTATGAACAGTTTGCTGAAGGTTTTTACCTGTGGTATGTCTCTACAACAAACGTTTTCCTCTGGAGTGAGTCTGCAGTTTCCACAAGAGCACCTGATTTAGGATGACAACAGTCCAGTTTCAGTGCAGTGTTTGTGTCAGGCACAGTGGTGTGTTTATTAGTCGTTTGTTTACTCAAATACAGTTAGTCATGTAGAACAGAATAATACCTTTGTGAGACTTTAATATTGGCCTCGTCTGGAGCATCTTCACCTTCATCCACAGGCATGAAAGCTTTAAACTGATAAAATGGAGGAGAGAGATCCTTCACCTCCACAGAGCTCTGAGATCCGCTGTAAACGCTGCTTGCTGAATCGCTGTCCATCTCTGCGTCTGTGTTCGGGTCGCTGCTGTGCAGATCAGCCTTTTATGCATGTGATGAAGCTCCCCTTTCCATGCAAACCCCTCCCTCATTTGCTGTTGTCACTCCCACCTAAACAATGCTGGACACGCCCACCTTCCTGACTTATTTTCAATCTAGAGGTGTGAAAACTCCCTGCTGAGACTGGGTGTTCGAGGCCCTTTACAGTTTTTTACGATTGTTTACACTCTAAAATAAACATTTCCACACAATTTGCAAGATTCTACTCCAAGGAGCAAAACACCACCACAGATTTGCACAACATTACACACAATGTCTGCTTCACTCTTTTTGCAAAACATGACACGCAGTGATTTGTAAAACTCTACACACATTTAGACACAGATTAGGATTGTGAGGTTACTACCTTGTCATCACCAAGCCCCAGATTGCCAATGACCATGCTAAAGAATGAATTGGATAAACATCTACAAGGTGTCGAAGCATTTAAAAACGCAGCACTCAGGTGTGCTATAAACGGCAGGCGGTGAGTTCACCTGTATTCTTCAAAAATGGAAGGAGCTAGAAAAGATTGAGAATGAGAGGAGGAGCTCAAAGAGAAGAAGGAGGAAGATGGCTAGGTAGAGGAAGAGGTAGAGAAGGACTCGATAGAACCTGAACAAAGAAGACGAGGACCTAATTTGACTGAGGAAATCCGTGCAACACTTATCGACCATGTTATCAACCATGGACTGACACTGATGGAAGCTGGACAAAGAGTTCAACCAAATCTCAGCAGAAATACTGTATTCCTTTAATTTTCAGTGTGCAGCATCAGAGCTTGATCATTTTATAGTGGACCTGTTTGTGTACATTCCCCCTATATCTCAAACTAATCATGAAGAATGTTGTGGGTTTGTCACTATTTTGTTCTGTCATTGAAATGATCCCTTACATAACAACGTCTGGCCAAAAATCTAGCACATGCGTTTTCCTAAAATTAGTTTATTTTACAAATGTGTTTTTTATATTTATCTCAGCAACGTGAAACTGTCTGCAATAGTGTCTGATCATTGAGGACCGTGATGGTAAAATGAAAACTAACAGCATTTTCACGAATATCTGTGTGAATGTTTTGACTGAAGAGTGTCATTTTGCTAACAATCTAGGAATTCTGCAAATTGAGTGTGCTGTTTAAATAATTGAGACTATATTTTGAAAAAAAAAAAAAGAAACTGGTTTTTAAAATTGTGGGTAAACAATTGAAAAAACTATTCTGTGTGCATATATGCCATTGCATGCCCGTAGTCAGGGGTGGTTCGAGTTTGTCCTTTTAATTATTTTATGTGATATAATATTATATAATACATTTATTATATAATTAATACAATATATTTATATTCAATATTGAAATAAAGTGTTATTTTAAATATCTCTGGCCAGTAATTTGAATCCCATAGAGCCTCAAAGCCACAATAATGTGACGCGAGTCACGACATAACACACTGACAGTGGTACAGTTCAATCTTTGATGCGACATCCATACTGAGTAACGCTGTGGGTCGAAAAAAGGCAGAAAAGGCAACCACTATCGCAAAATATTAAACATATGTTCAAAAAGACTGGCAAACATATGTTCTTATAGATGAAAATCTGCCCCTCTCCATGAGGTTCTAGACTAACTGGCTGCATTAGCCGGGACATCATGTATATTTATTGACTTGTCCAGTTCATGACCTCCCTTTCCCTATTTTTGACATTATTTATTTTTAATTACTGTAAATAATTCCTTAAATAATTCTGACAAAGGTTCAGAATTTGTCCCATACATGAGCTCATTTGTCCTATTTTGACTGCCGTGCCATCATAAATAATGAAAATAATCTATTGAAAAAGACCAAACATATTCTCTGTCGGCTGTGGCTTTACTATAATCTGAAGTAAGAGTCTACTGTCACTGCTGTGTTGTTTTTAAACAGAAAACATTTTACAGGGAACTTTATTCTAAATCTTGGACCTTATTTCTGAAATAAAAATGAGCAATAAACGGTGTGAAGCACCAGAAGCGGACCACATTAAATTATTTGAATATATTTTGGCTATTGTTGGCTTTCTTGAATTTTCTAATTTACTTTTTTTTACCAAAGAGGCTATAAAATAATCTTAAGACATCATTATTATTATTATTTATTTATTTATTTATTTATTTATTTATTTTTATTTATTTATTTTTTTAAATGGCCAAATTGTGACTGAGGATAGTTGAATGTGCTGGCCAGTTTGTTTTTTGTCTAATAAATGACAGTAGGTTACAGTTTTTTTTTACTTAAAATCTTTAACAGATTCCTATTTTTCCTAATCATATATTTTTTAATTTAAATTAAATTAAATTACATTTTTTAAATTTTCATAATTTGTATTTTAAAAAATTAGTCGTTTTAATTTTTTTATGGCAAATATTTAGAAAGTATTTTAGCACATCAAAAGTGTGGTTATGATAACATCTGACTAGCTAATCCAGCAAAAGAATCTGACTAAAATGCAGTCATTAAATCTAGTTACAGAGAAACTGAGGTGTAAACTGCAGAAAGAGCCACTTTTTGAGGAAAAAAGAACCAGCCCTTTCACCAGGCTGGCTATGGGCCTGCATTGCTAACCCTGTATGCTTTTATGGCCGTTTCCACTGTCAAAAGGTACTTTTCCACTGACTGGTACAGCACAGTACAGTCACCTTCATCAGCCTTGTGTTTCCACTGCCTAAAGGGTACCAGTGGCAGATCAATGATCAATTAGCCTACTGTAACGTCTGCAATAATATAAAATAAATAAATGAACACATGCAGACCCTTACAGTCTCCGATATGGTGCCAATTACTGAAAAACTACACACAGCAGACATTAAGTCCTTATATGGGCTCAAAAACAACAAGCAACATATAGCCAACAGTCAGAACAAACCTCTCCTCTGTGTCTGTAATCTTCAGCAGCTCATGTAGCCTCTGTTAGAGGGAAATTCTGTCATTCCCAGTTCATGATAGTCCAAAAGACGATGATAAACATGGCAGTTTGTTCACGCTTCACCCTCATGTTTGTCTGAAAAGATGTCAGAAGCACTTTAGAGTTTGGGGGTGAGGTGTCTGAATAACACTGTTGAGAACCGGGTTCTGTGTACTGTGATGTTAGTAACTGTGCTATGGAGCGTGTTTCGGGAGGCTGCTGCTATCCTACATTATCTGAAACATTAAAATATGACAAACATACAAAAAAAAAAGCATATTGGGTAGCCAAACAGAGTAAACACCTTTAAAGCACTACCTTGATTTTGCTAATTGAGTATGAGGAGAGCTGAAAATCACCCCGTTTACTCATTCACTTTAGTCAATGTACTGATTTACAATTGAAACACAGAAACTAAGGCCTTTGTCATGAATATTGATGGCCGTCCTCGCTCTTGACAAAGACCTGCCTCTAATGGGCCGTCAATGTGTAAATGAAGAGACCCAGAACATGAGCTGTCTTTGTTTTTATTTGCATTTTCATTTCAGTCCAGAATATAATTATTAGTCAATATAGCGCACGTGTTTGGACTGTGGGGGAAACCGGCACACAGAGGAAACCCACACCAACACAGGGAGAACATGCAAACTCCACACAGAAACAACAAGTGGCCTTATTGCTGTGAGGCAACAGTGCTAACCACTGAGCCAAGTGGGTATAAGATTGTTCAGTGCCCGTCTCTCCGTCTGACTGTTTCTACTCTAATAGCCACCAAACTAGATCAGGTCATGGAGACCTCGAGTGGAACTGAAGGGCTGGAGGATTGAACACATTACGTGTTGTAATGTGTTAATCCTGTCTAAAGTGATTTTGATAAATTGTTGTTGTGTGTATGTTCAGTTTAAAGGGATTTTCCTTTTTTATTGAAGGTAGACTTTGTGTAGTAAAAATAGAGCAGTCTGAATGCTGTTTATACCAGTTTTGAACTAGTTTGATAAGACGGCTGGGAGTACAAAGAAACAACCTTGGGTTTTTACAACAGGTGGCGTATAATGTGTATATGCATCCAGTGGGTCATGATCCAGCTAAGCCATGGAGCCTGGATAGCTCAGTCGGTAGAGCATCAGACTTTTAATCTGAGGGTCCAGGGTTCAAGTCCCTGTTCGGGCGCATATAACTCTTTTTGTGAATATAAAAAAAGAGTCATATGCGAGTCATATTTTGCTGCTGAGCTATCGCTTGCTCTTGCTAGCACATGTCATTGGGCAGTACGACCAATGCGCAACGCAAGAGCACAACCAAAAGGATGATCGTTGTAGTTTTGGCCGAGTGGTTAAGGCGATGGACTTGAAATCCATTGGGGTCTCCCCGCGCAGGTTCAAATCTACGTGCAATCCATCTGCGTGCAAGATTTCCGTTGTGACCTTCCTTGTTTGTTTGCTACTCCAGTGTTTCTTGGGAAAACGGATGTGCTGGTAGAGAAAAGCAACAAAAATAAAACGGCACAAGTGCTAGCTAACCGTCCAGGGGGGTTAGCTGGCACAAGTGCTAGCTAACCGTCCAGGGGGGTTTCTATTTTTAAAGACATATGACAGGCCGTGGGGGATCAGCAGCTGTCCTGTAGCTCGCCGTGATCGTATAGTGGTTAGTACTCTGCGTTGTGGCCGCAGCAACCCCGGTTCGAATCCGGGGCACGGCAGGTTTTACAAGGTGCTTCTTTGTTAACAAGAGTAACAAGAATTATTTATATTAATTAATAAATCATTCACGTTCCTTCAGTTCAGTCCCTTTATTCATCAGGGGTTGCCACAGCGGAATGAACTGCCAACTTATCTAGCATATGTTTCATAGAAAAGATGCCCTTTCAGCTGCAACCCAGTAAGCTACTGGGAAATATCCATATACTCGTGTGCAAGATTTACTTTACAACCTTCCTTGTTTGTTTGCAACTGCAGTGTTTCTTGGGAAACAGATGTGCTGGTAGGGAAAAGCAACAAAAATAAAACGGCAGAAGTGCTGGCTTACTCACCTGGGGGCCTCGTAGCTCGCCGTGATCGTATAGTGGTTAGTACTCTGCGTTGTGGCCGGTTCGAATCCGGGTCACGGCAGGTTTTTCAAGTTGGCATTGCCATTGATCCCTGTGTTGCTGTCCATAATATCCAGCTTCCTCTAAGGGCAGGCTGTGTTTGCCGTTGAGCTATCGCTTGCTTGACATGTAATTGGGCAGCATGACCAATGCGCCAGGCAAGAGCACAATAGAAAAGCAATCTCTGTAATTGTGGCCGAGTGGTGAAGGCAATAGACTTGAAATTTGCCAATCTGTCATCTAAATTCTTTATTTTCCTCTGTGTTTTTGTTTATTGTACATTTGTTCATCATGTTAGACTAGTCATTAACCCACCTTATAACCTTATTGGCTTGTCTTTGTGTGCCTCACAGAAATGGTCACTGTAACAGTAAAAGATTTTGCTACCAGCTTATTAAGTTTAATAAAACTCCTAAACCAAAAGTAAAATTCCCTTTCTCAATAAATAATCCATGAAAGAGTCTGCTCAGACGAGCGGATGCAGTCATTGTTTTATTTATTTAGTTAAATTAACTATAAGTTGATTCTGAATATTCATAATTAATTATAACTTCTTATTTTTAATCATTAATATTCATAAATTGAGCTAATTTTGCTACATGCTTAACCATGTGCTTAATTGCCATCAACACACACACACACACACACACACACAGCAGAAGCCCCAATGTGACACATTTGAATATTTATTTGAATAGGTACAGAGCCTGTAGTCTATGTCCAACAGGATAGGTATACCATCTATTTTTTTCTTCTTCTGAAACTACATATTTGCAAACAAGGAATGCTGTTGGGGAGGGCGGGATGAGAATAAAACATAATATAGCCATCAAGAGGTTATGCGAAACAAAGACAGCTCTACAGTCAACTAAAATTAAGAAACAAAAGGATGGTAAACCTACAGCGCTTTCAGACCAGTATCTGTACGTGCTTGAGGATGAAGGCACGGCACAGTCTGCCACACACACACACACATACGTACATGTGATGCATGTTGCTCAACACCCAACATGAATATCTACAGGTCAAGACGGACTCAGTATTTGCACTACAAGTAGTTTGAGTAGCGTCCGTCTTTCCAACACATTTTAAATTCTGCAATGTGCCAAACGGTGTTGAATTGCTCGTCTGTTTGGGGCCAAAAAAAGGGTCACAGAAACATTACAGTAGGTTTTTTTTTTTGCTTTAAAAGAAAAGGAGAAAAGCTTACAAAACTAAAACCCACTAAAAGAAATGAACTATACTGCAGTTTAGCACATGCAAAGGATATGTCCGAAACCTCTCATACATAAAACACCTCCCCACATGATCACCGCCGCAGAGTTGGGAGTTTCCCAATAACAGAAATGGGGGCCGGGGGGATGAATCGTCATGAAAGCAAAGCTTTAAGGGTCTCCAAATGTACAATAGCCCAAGTGTGTGCAAAGATACAGTGCACAATGTGTATTAAATGTATTTACACCAGCACTGAGAAATAAAAGCCGAAATGAGGGAAGACGAAAATAAAAAGTGATTGAGCGAACAACAACGACAACAACAACACCGGGACCAAGCACAGAACCCAGCGGCACGCCTCCTCGACGCTCAGTCCAGTGTCATCAACACTAAATAAGGTTAAAACGAAATTAAAGTCATGACATTGTCTTCTTGAGATCACTGATGTCCAGTCTTTCAACTGAAGTGTGTTTACATTTGTTTCCAAATTCGTTTAGCCTCCTCTTTCGGGCTAATCCTCAATTTGCTGCTGAATTTCCCCAGATTAGTCGTCATCTTCCGGTTGATTTCCCCCCCCGTGTCGACTCGCTGCGTTCGTTACATTCAGTCCTGCATTTCAACAGCCAGTCACGTCAGTCAGTCAAGCGCGCATACACACACACCCATCACGTCCACTCGTGCCGTTGGACAGCGGGAGAGGGCTCTGGTCGGCTGGGTCTGTTTTCCAGCACAGCATCATTCACACAGACTTACACACACACACACACACACACACAGGCGACCGCAGGAGTGTGTTCGTGTCTCTTTGTTGGTGAGGATCTCCTTTAGCGTTCTTACCTCAGATTCCTAAATGTTGTCTTCATTATTCCCATTGGTTTGTGTTGAAAAGACACGCTGGGTAGTATTTCGTGAAGTTTTCTTCTCCGAGCGTGTTTGATTCGTATTTATTTATTTCTTTTGAGATGGTCGTGTTTTTAGTTTGTTTTTGAAAAGTAGTAGTAGTCAGCCACTCACTCGCATTCGCTCGCATCCACTCAAAGCCGTCTCAAACGCCGCCGGGACGCTCCCTTCAGAAGGCCAAAGGAACTCCACTCAATTTCTTCTTGGATTAGATGCAGCTGGATCCCATCAGCCAAGCACAACGGATCTAATTTCTCTCACACTCTCTCGCGCTCTCTCTCTCTCTCTCTAATTATTTTTAATGTTGAACAGAGTGCTGCATCACAAACAAAACTCCGGATTTCCCTTCGCGTCTAGAACTGGAACCCTTCTGCTGGCACGTTGGTGGATGAATTGAAGCTGTACGTTCCCCCTTGGATGGCTTCAGGGACCAGGTTGGAGTCCTCATCAATCTGAAACAAAATATTGAATGATTGAATCATAAGACCTTGTTAAAAGTTGCCTTCAATGACTAATCTCCCTAAAGCAGGGGTCACCAATCCTGGTCCTGGAGGGCCGGTGTCCCTGCAGGGTTTAGCTCCAACTTGCCTCAACACACCTGCCTGGATGTTTCAAGTATACCTAGTAAGACCTTGATTAGCTTGTTCAGGTGTGTTTGATTAGGGTTGGAGCTAAAATCTGCAGGACACCGGCCCTCCAGGAACAAGTTTGGTGACCGCTGCCCTAAAGGATCTAAATCACTGAAGAGTAGTACTGGGCGACTACTCAAAATGAATGACTAAACTGTTTATATCCACCTATTTTATGCATATTTTGGAATAAGCAAATAATAAGAACACCAAGATGCAGATAAATGTAGAGAATGCACATAGTAAATCTAATGCGCACAACCGAGTAGGAGAAACGAATCTATAATGAAGAAATTAAGTGCAGATAAACAGTGGAAACACATTTGTCAAACAAACTTTGGCATGAACATTATTAAAAGTGATGTGATTGTTTTAACAGGCGAACATAGGCAGTTTATACAATACAACAGAGAAAACTGTTATTCTGACAGAACTGGTGCACAATGGGAGAGCATTAAATGGACAAACCAGCATTTCGAGCACATTGCAAAACATCTGAAATGTTGTTTTGGTGATTTTAAAATCCCTCAGCCAAAGCTCATCATCAAAGTGGTTCAGTATTATTAAATGCATTATTATTATGCCATGTCTTGAGCATCTGTGCTCCCAAAGAGTACCTCCGAAAGACACTGTGTGTTCATTGTGCTACTCATAGAAAAAAAAAGAAAAAAGGCCCACAGTGGCTTCTCCTATTGCCGAAAGCTACTCCTTGATAATCTTTTGATATTTGGCATCAGTTTAATCAGAAAGTTATGATTATGAGTTATGAATGCAAACACTACAATATTGCATAAAATATTTGCAAATAAATCTGTTTTGCGCACAAATCTACTTTGAATCTTTGAATGGAAACATAGCTATAGACATGCACATCTTGTCAGAAAATCAGTTGTGCGATCAAAAGTAAAATCTCTAAAAGCCAGAGGGCGCTATTGTGCAGAAACTATAAATTCCCATAAAGGCATAGTGCACTGATAAGCCAGAAACAGCCATTAAATGGCAGAACAATAATCTGGGTTTTATTATTGTCTAAATAAATCAACCTCAATTGTGGATGTGACATCGTGCTGCTTGTCAGTGAACGGCTGGATGTTTACTGGAGCCAGCTTGACTGACAAAATGCACATGAAAAATCAGTCAATTTACATCAAACCCTACTGAAGAGGTAGCAAAAAATAAAATGGACATATGCCCAGTCCTGAGAACTTGCGTGTGCTGCAGCATACAAATGGCAAGAAAAAAAACTTACATCGTCAGATGAGAAGAACTGATCGATTATTTCGTAAGCCAGTTTGTAGATGTCCTCGTTCTCATGGTTCTGCAGTTGCTCGATTTTCTCCAAACCTGAAAAGCGAGCAATGGTTAGTCTTCAAAAACAAAGCAAAGGCTTGAGACCTTCAAAATTAAAGCGTTAGTTCACACAAAAATTTCAATTGCGTTTTTAAATGCTCTCCATGTTGTTCCAATCCCCCGAGACAATTTAATATATTTTAGATCAATCCAGAGAGCTCCCTCATCCTCCATAGGGCTGATTTATACTTCTGCGTGGAGTGATCGATGTGACCCACGGCACCTGCCTTGCGCAAATTCATACATTTATTCTTCTGCGCTCGATGTTGATCTGCAATAATACTTCCGAAACGCAATAGGCAGTAGGTTATGTTCCTCTGTCAAGCTTCTTCATGGGTGTTTTGTTTTTTCTGAAAGTTACCTTAAAATGTACAAGTAGCTAAACCTCGGGAACCGGCGGACGTACAACAACTTTAATCATCAAGTCAACACAAAACATCAGGAGCTCCTTGGTTCAATCCTGGAATTTGGTTCATATTCTAGACCAGGGGTCAGCAACCCGCGGCTCTTTAGCGCTGCCCTTGTGGCTCCCTGGAGCTTTTTCGAAAATGTTTGAAAATGGAAATAGATGGGGGAGGCTAATATATTTGTTTTGTTTTAATATGATTTCTCTAAGAGGGAAAACATTGTTAACGTTTTTATATGCTGTAAAAGTGTGTAGAATTAATATTTAATTTCAACATTTCTGTCAACGAAGATTGTCAGCCTGCGACACGTGTTTCTATCAGCATGGCGGGATGCCAGGCAGGTGGCTGTTGTAAACAAACCGGGAGATAATAAAGCATGGAAAACCGTTCACAGATGGTGACTACATAAAGGAGTCATTCATCAACATATTAGAACACCTATTTGCAGATTTCAAAAATAAAACCAAGATAACACAAAAAAATTAAAGATATACCGCTCTCTCCGCTAAGACAGTGAAGGAAAGGGCTATTAAAAAGGCAGGTAACATCACCGATCAGCAAACCAAGGACATTAATTCAGTGCCAGCATACTCAATTGCCTGTGATGTGACCGATATTCAATGTGCTTTTATGCAGGTATGTGAACTCTGATTGGCTGCAAGAAGAAATGATCAAATTAATACCACTGAAAGACCAGAGGCTGTGCTGAAGTGTTTAAATGACAACGGAATAAACACCAACCACCTGATTTCAGTGGCTATTTAATCATGAAGGCTCATTATGTATTTGTAGCCAATTTAGTCATTTTTATAGTAGACTAATATAGTTAATATAGATCCATACAGCATGTGTTTCCTTCATTATAAGGCTTTTATAAGGCTCCAGACGTTTTTTTTTTTGTTTGTTTTTTTGGTCCAATATGGCTCTTTCAACATTTTGGGTTGCCGACCCCTGTTCTAGAGCAGTGGTTCTCAAATGTTTTTCATCAAGTACCACCTCAGAAAAAAATTGTCTCTCCAAGTACCACCAAAATGAGCAGTATTGAAATACAGTAGCATAGTAGGCCTAGTAAAGCAGCTACAACTCTGCACAGTTAAAAAACGTGGCAGATTACCTCAGAAATATAGGCTATATGTCATATATGGCATATTATATACATCATTTTTGATAAATTTTGAAATGTGTATAGCATGTACATTACATATTTCATTCCTCTGCGTACCACTAGAAGGAAGCCTGCGTACCACTAGTGGTACACGTACCACAGTTTGAGAACCACTGTTCTAGACCATTGCTGTCTATGGAGGATATCAGAGCTCCAGGATTTCGTCTAACACATCTTCATTTGCGTTCAGAAAATGAACAAATGTCTTAGGGTTTTCTAATGAACATTATTGATGGCATGTTTGCCCCAAGCCTAAAGTTGAATAGGTTTTCATTTACTCTATTTAAATATTTAATTGTTGTCACACAGATTTTGGTCCAGATTTGTAGGGGTTGGAGTGACTTTAAAGTGAGAAATTAAATAAATGGTTAAAAGTACTCAAACAACACGTGCTATCATCTCCCGAAACATACACACTAGGATTTAGCGTACAAGTAGATACTCGAACACTGATTGCTACTCCACACACAAACACGAGCGTCTGCTCACCTCCACACTCCTCGATGAGGTTGGCCACAGTCTCCGCTTCATCGTCGGCCATCTTGAGAATGTTACTGAGGCCGTCCAGAACCACCTGCACTACCTGAGCATCCTTCACAGTCAGCAGGTTACAGAACGGAGGAATCACCTGCTGCTGGATCAGGTACGCCACCTACAGGATAAGATCACACCGTGTTTAACACTTCAGCTTGTTGGAAATCCTTGAAAATGCCCAAATTGGAACGGAACAAGTTTGAAAAGTGCTTTGATTTTGGATAAAGTGCTTGGAAATGTAATAAAATATGCACACACATATTATTCATCCATTCATTTTCCTTTGACTTGAGTTCCTTTGTTCATCAAGGGTCACCACAGCAGAATGAACCGCCAACTATTCTGACAAATGTTTTACACAGCGAATGCCCTTCGAGCTGCAACCCAGTACTGGGAAACACCCATACCCTACAGCCAATTTAGATCATTCAATTCCCCTATACCACATGTGTTTATGGGGGAAACCGGAGCACCCGGAGGAAACCTACGCCAACACGGGGAGAACATGCAAACTCCACACAGAAATGCACACCGGCTCAGCCAGGACTTGAACCAGCGACCTTGCTTTGAGGCGACAGTACTAACCACTGACCCACCGTGCCACCCACACATATTATGTGAAGAAAAACTTATTTTGGATTCAATTAATTTTTGCCAAGCACTAATTCTAACATAGTAGAATTGAAATAAAACAATAGTAACTAAAATAATGTGATGAAGTATGGATGAATTATAAATATGCAAGTTGACATGTAGGAAGAGTTTGAAAATGCACCCAGAAAGTGCTTATATTCAACATTGGGAAAGGTGCAAGAACCCTGACGCATGCTTGTGCACCTGAACACACACCTGATCCTTTCTGCCACTGATGGTCAGGTTGCTGATGGCCCACGCTGCTTCCTTCTGAGTGCCAAAATCTCCCTGCGAGAGACAACAACATTACATGGAGAGACTCAACAACAGCAGTGCCATGTTCACGGTAACATTAAAATGTGCCAAAAATTCAGCTCAGTTAAAATTCTCATAGTTTAGTGCAGGGGTTCCCAAACGTTTCAGCCCGCGACCCCCAAAAGGACAATGCCAGTGACTCGTGACCCCCAATATTCTCTGAGGTGGTGGTTATAAATACAGAAACCTTGTATGCAATGATGCACACACACACTAATAGACCCAAGTCTATTCTTTGTTTTTTTAATGTATGTCAGTGCTGTAAATGGGCTAGAAAGTTTAACCTGGTGTTATAAAATCAATCTGCTGCATCTGACAGTATTGCTGTGTCTTTAGTATAATGTAATTACCCAAGAAGTCACAATCCAATAGAACTATTAAATATAAGCTACTATAGTAACTATATAGTTTATAGTAACTATAAACGACTATTTTTTTCTCTTCAGTAAGTTATTGATGAAATACAGTAAGTCTTAAGGTTTAATAAAAATTAATTGATTTTTGGAAATCACCAGGCGACCCCCCTTCATTGTCCCGCGACCCCTCGGGGGTTCCCGACCCCCACTTTGAGAACCTCTGGTTTAGTGAAGCAGAAACACCTCAAAGTCTTAACTTTTGCTTCTCTGGGTCCTAAAAATATTAAAGTTTTTATTTTAGGAGTAACAATTACATTCTCTACCCACGTTAAACAGACCGCTCTCCCAAAAATTACATTTCCTCACTAATAACTGATTGATTCCAAATATTTTTCTGTTAAACGCTAAAAAATAGGCTTAAGCTGGAAACCTGCAACCATCGACCTCAGTGATATTTGATTTTTCTACTTTGTGTTCAACTGAGGAAAACCTTGGACGTTTGAATCAAGTAAAGGTAGGGCTGGGCGATTTTTCCCTTTTTTTTTTTTATTCATTCGAATTTACGTTTTAAGACGATTTAATTTTGAATCAAATCGAGAAATCACGATTCTTAAAAAAAATATATATTTAATACATTATAATGGCACCAATGCGCTTTGGTTCACTCTATGAAGCAGGAAGCACACCAGAAGCACTTCTCGGCGATGCACAGCACCACGCAGCGCCATGGATTTTAGAATTCTAAACCGATTTCTATACACACACCGGCGCCACCCAGTCACGATTTACGAAGCAGTTCATATTTCATCCAGCCCACAGAGCGCCATCTGATTAGTTTCATGTTAAATATCATGTCAATGTGCGCGTTTGGTGTGTGATAGTTTAAACTGTCATGTGCGCACCGTGTCGCGGCGCTTCTGGTGTGCGACCTGCTTGACTGCCTGTTAAAGCATGAAGTCATGTAGGATTTTACTTGTTGCATTAGTCTGAGTCACGTCTGTGTGTATTGTCAATATTGTGAACGCTAAAAAAAAATAGGCTTAAGCTGGAAACCTGCAACCATCGACCTCAGTGATATTTGATTTTTCTACTTTGTAATCAAGGGTCACTAAATGATGAGCGAACTTTACACGTATACAAAAGGATCGTTCACCCAAAATGTAAAGCGCTTAGAGTGTCCAGAAAAGCGCTATATATTTAAATATAAGAAATTATTATTAATATTATTAGTTTAGTACTACTAAAGCTGAAGTGTGGGTGGTAAACTTGTTAAAGAGAGCTCGGGTCATCACTCACCTTATCCAGCAGCAGAATGATCATGGGCACCAGATTGGCATCAATGACGGCCTGAACCTGCTGCTGGTTTCCTGCTGTGATGTTGGACAGGAACCACACAGCCTCCTGCAAGAGCACAACATCCAGATTCATTACACATCAGCCTCACATGTCCTAACAACAAGACTGCAGCAACAAGCAAATATTCTGACCTCAGCAAAAGCAGCGCAACACGACAGAAACATTTAAACACCAGCCACTGCACTCCCAATGAAATGCTGAAGGCTTTTGGTCATTTATTAAGGTCTACTTAATAAATATTTAACATTATTAATAGGCTGCTGAGTGACTGATGTTATTGGTTTGAAAATCAAAGCCCGAACCGTGACCCATTGCAAATCGTCTGCAAGTCATTTTAATTTTCAAGACATGAAGTTAACTATCAGCATGGCAATAAATGCCCATAATCAGTAGCTGAGGTGATCTAAGTCATTGAAGTTTATGCTGTTGTTTTAGTGCGACGTTGCAGAATTAAATAATATATATATATATTATTAAATTCTGCAACGTCGCACTAACAACAGCATATTAACATAAATTTTGCACGCTGCTGTTTTAAAAAAAAAAAAATCCGTAATATGGAAAATATACATTTTTGCACGCATCGTATCGTGTGTTGTTACAACACAGTGTCAGAGCTGGTAAAAGCGTGACACTGCACGCAATAGAGCAACTTACACAGGGTTTCGTTTACAACACTTTAATGTAAATTTAGGTTTATTCAATACTTACAGGATTTAGCTTGTAGGGTGGTTTATAAGATATTTATGATCATGCATTTTCACAGCAAAACACAAGAATTAAAGCAAACTAAGCTTTGAAAAAAACAACAACATTACTTACAAAATATACATAAATGTTGTTTAAAAAAGCCCCTGTAAAATCCTGGAGGGACCGGCACAATGTATTAGCATTTAATAATATATTTTTTGGTTTCATATATTGTATAAATATATATGTTTTATTCTGTATAAATTTATTGAAATATATATCTTACACTTACATTAATTCCTGTGCTTTTACCACAAACCGTAATATTAATTATTAGGTAGAGGCTGATATTTTAGAAATTATGGGATGTGTTGAAAAACAATACATTGAGTGTGTTTACTAGCAATTTCTTAGTGGGATGGTTAAAGGGTTAAGAAACTTCTATTATGGCTTTAAATGGACCTTTTCGTGCATCTCAGCAGAACATTTAGTTTTTGGTTAAACATTGAGCACAGTGAACGGGAAAAGTCCCACAAATTACAAACGAAAAACTTTTAGATAGTATTTTCAAGACTTTCAAAAAAGAGAAAGTTAACAGGAGTTTAAAAAAAAAAGTTAAAAAGAGTTAACAAATTTTCAAATGCATGTTCAATTGGGCTGAGGACCAGGACAATGAATGAGTTTGTAAATTAGTGAAGTGTTTTAATAAAGAAAAACTATCTGAACCAAATGAATGACAGTCCTCTGACAGAAACCAACCAACAGTCCATTTTAGAATTTCTTTGGGTTTAAATATAATTTATTCACTGTATTTGTTTTATTTCAGAGACAGATAATGTACGCTTCTGGTGTAATGTCACATAATGCAAAGTCTAGCTTTATAAAATGTTCATGCATTGTTGTTTTAAATCAAAATACTAACAACTTAAGGATTTAAGACATCCTCTAACACGTCATCATCTCGTGAAAAAGGGTTCATTGTTCTTAGTTTGCCAAATGTTATACGGCCCATTCACACGGGGCTTCAGCGTCAACCCTTGCCTGAAGGCGTGTCTGAAGTTGGGGTTAACGCGATCGTCACAGCAGCGTCAGCAGTCAGCAATAGGCCACTGTCTGAGCTGGGGTATTTGCATACAGTGATCTGATTGGCTGACGCTTCCGTCGGTGCTTGAAAAGTTGAGCTAGTCCCAACTTCTGCAGTAAGCAACGCCTCTGAAGTGGCGCTGTCGGATCCACAATGCAGTTCGGCAATGCCTGACGTCACCCATTTAAAGTGAATGGGAAGCGTTGATGCTGACGCCCCGTGTGAATGGGGCGTTACAGATTTGGGAGTGAGATGTGACCTTTGTGTGTGTGTTGTAGTGAGATTCACTTGTTACCTTGTTGATCTTCTCTTTAGGGTGTGTGAGCAGGGCTGGGAAGTGACCCAAAGCATCACAGTTGAGCACCACCTGAGTCTGCTCATCTGTTCCCGTCACAATATTCCCCACCGCTCGCAGCGCTGCCGTCTAAAGCCACAAAACAAAGACTGTGAAGAGACTGGTAACGCATATTCTTGTAGCATTATAATTTATTTTAAAATGGCAGAGAAGTTTTTTTTTTTTTAAAGAGAACGGGACCTTTAATTTTAAAGCCAGTTCACAACAATTATAACTATGAATAGAAAGGTAATGATAAACTTGCATCAACAGTGCAAGAAAAAAATAATAATAATAATAGCCCAAGACACAAAAATAAACATTGATTGTTTCTTTTTTGTTATTAAGTTTTTGCATTCGGCATGAATCCTTCAGATGACCAGCAGATGTCCTCAGTGTGCTGCTGCTAGCCATCTAGAATTAATTTAGCGATCATGTACTCGCAGTAGTGGAATGAAAACTAACTATTTACTCAAGCATTTTCAAAGGAGTAAGCAAAAACTAGCACTGGATACCTGAGGTACTTTTTTATACAGCATGCACGGCTTCTTCCACAATGTCATCTGCAGCTTTAAACTGCATGAGCCCTTTTATATTTCAATGGATTCAGATAGGCTGTCAGAGTGAGATTGATTGAATAAAAAAAATAAAGCAATCCCAAATAATAAGGCTTCTCATCGTCTTTATCATTGAAGTAGCTTGCACTCAAGGATTTTTTTTGAATGATATCTTTAGCTGTAAGGCCTTTGGAGCATGCCCTGCGCAAACTAAAGGCTCATCCATACCTGAACTTTGACCTCCTGGTGGCTCAGTAATGGTACGAGGTATGGCACAATCCCAGAATCGATGACCATCTGGATCTGCTCATTGCCAGCGTCGGTGAGATAGGAGAGCGCCCAGACTGTGTCCACAAGGATCTGCACAGAGCAAAGAGTTAGCATTCACCATCCGCCTCCAGAGAAGAGCATTCGCCATCACAGCAAACTCCAACTTACATTGACATCAGTGTGGTGAATCAGCACACACAGCGCTGGGAGAATCTGCACGGACACAGAGAGACATCATCAGAACACAGAGCAGACATGACGTAAATGAGAGAACGAGTGCATGGTGGGGGATTAAGGCGATGGAAATACTCTAAAATGCTCTTTTGTTTCAGTTTTGGCATTAAAGTCTGCATGAACCGGAAGCAGTGATTGTTTTTTGGTTCATATTTTGATGCAGCTTATAAAGAAATGAAATATCAAATGAGAAAACGGTGGGCGTGGCTTGTTTTTTTTCTACTGCAAGTTGATTGGATGATTTAATTCAGAAAACAGTTTGAGGAAAGTTTACAACCTAACAGACTCCTCCTCCTCACCAATTCAGGTTGTTATAACTGACAGCTGGAGGGGCGTGGTTAAGTAAGCCACGCCCAATGCCTCAGTCTATGCGACTTATCTACACATTAACAGAGGTGGGCAAACTACGGCCCGCTGAACACTTTCATACGCCCGCGAGGGAGTTTTTAAAATGCTTCTTCTGAGAAGGTTTGGTTCAGAATTAGTAAATTAATGATGCAATTACAAGTGAACGCCATGTGATGGCAGTATTGCACGCGGTAGCCAGTAGAATTAGAACACTCTCGGATTTAAAAATGCACTCGACCGTTAATGACCGGACGCGCTTTATGCTTCAGGAGCCTCTTTTGAATGGTTTACTAACAGCCGCGAGGGTTTTGTTTAGCGCGCTGCTGCATCCTGCACGCCTCGAGTTTTAACCGCCTGCTGCGCTTCGCGTTTTTGCTGTAGCAGACTCCAGACTGACACCCTTGCGAAGAGAGGGGACCAGGCTTATTGTTCACATTAACACACTCATAATATCATGACTTGTAATAATGAAGACGAAGACTCTTCCTCCGTTTTGTCTCATAGTTTTATAATGATTGATGTGAGCATATTAACACAAGCTCAAATGATGTGAATTTGGACTCAAGTTATCTAATAATTGCTGGTTAAAAGTGTTAATTTTAGTGAGAATATATTTTCCATGCATACAACCACTTCAAAAAAGGTATTTTATCAAAGATTTGTGGTTTTATCAAGTTTTATGATAATTAATCTGTATATTGTAAAAGCAGTGCAAATTAGATAGTAAATTTGACTGAATAGTAAACTTTAAGAATTATTTTTAATGTGTTAATGTGAGATTTTTTCTATCAGACAATTTCTTTTTTATTCTCCACTGTAAAAAAAAAAAAAATTACATTATTATCTTTATTATTATTATTATATAAGAGATTATTTCATTGTTTTACGATGATTATTTTTACTTAATAATATAAAAAAAATCTTTTGTGTTATTGTGACATGTTTCTGTGGCCCTTCACTTGGTTTGCAATACTTGATGTGGCTCTCGGGTCTAAAAAGTTTGCCCACCACTGCATTAACATCTTTAAAACACTTTCTGACTCTGCATCAGTGTTTGCACTCAGTGAACAGTGGTAAACCAATAACCTTCACAGCCAATCACAGTCATTTCTACTAAGCATGCGAGCACAATAACCAATCAGTGCAGTTTAAGTATGAGCTCAAATGTTAGCAGGAAATAAACGTTTTTGCGATTGGTACTTAAGTTGATACTTGACAACACTAAATTATGCCCAAGTTAAATCAACTTGTTAATATTATAAAAGCTCAGCCCGCCACATTTGTTAGACAAGCTGCCCAAACTATAAGTGCTTCAATTTAGGGCTGAACGATATATCAACATAAAAATTGCATCTGCGATTTAGCAAAAGCTGCTAATGTCTTGCACATCATGTGAGGGAATTACAATGATGTGATCAGTGGAAAATTCTCCCCAAAAGACTTAACTTTATAGTTTTAGTGGAGAGTTTGAATTGAGCAAAAACGCCATTATGTGTGGTATTTGCATGTGCTTTCAGCTTTAACTTGAGCAATGTTTACTTTAAAGGGCCGTAGTTCATTGAGAAGTTCTGCAAATATCGATCTAATCGCAGAATTATTTCCGATTTGACGATCGCATGATGATGTTGCATGTGATATTTTGTGTAGTTTGGCAGACAACCATGGCTGTGTGCAGTAAACACAGGCGCCGGAGATTCACAGCTGACTACAGAGCCAGCTTTACTGACAAATGCACAACAAATGTAAGCGCTTTCAACCCTACTTCCATTCCTGTGGCATTTAAAAACAAACATTAAATGCAAAAAATGAAATGAAAGGACATAAGGATTTCCAGCACCATTATGAGCCCTCTAATTAAAACAAACTTGGAGGCTTTGATTTCATTTAAAATGCTGCCATTTCCACCTCTTAAAAATAAGCATCATATTTGTACCTCCTGGATGGTCTCCATGGGCGGGGGAGGGTCCTTGTGGCGGCACAGGTTGACCATGACCCAGGTGACGTTACGGAGGAAGGTGATGGGTATGGAGGGGCTGATGAAGGATAGGAGTGGTTTGACCACACCCAGACTGATGACGTAATCTCTGCACTGAGGACCATCACCTGCAGAACAGCACAGTACTCTCATTCATCAACATCAGTGTTATAACTGTACATGACAAGCTTCCAGCAACAGGCAATTTGTCAGTCCTAACTAAACATGACAGAAGATTTAAACACCAGTCACTGCACTGCCAACCAAATGGTAAGGTTTATAATCGAACAAGTATTTAACATTAGAATAGTACAGGGGCTGATTAACTAATCTTGTTGGTTTGCACTCAGTTCTGACTTTCATTTTCAAACAGTCTGCTAGTTATTTAATCTTCAAGATCTGAGGTGAACTAGAAGCTGCTGTTTTCAGTAGTTTGGCAATAAACGTTACGTTAAATGTATTTAAACTCAGATTGGGGCATTTAACACTGAATAAGACATATAATCAGTACCTGAGCTGATCAGTATCATGGCAGTTTATGCTGTTGTTTTGCGAAAATAGAAATTTTACACGTCGCTGTTGCAGCGGGTTAGGACAAAATTTAGTTTAATATGAAAAAGATACCCTATAAAATCGCATGTAGTGAGGACACATTATGCCTCAACCCACCAGCCTCTGATCCAGCAGGGTTTATGCAGGTTTCATAAAGTTAAAGACTTAAATTCACTTTAAGACTATATTTAGGACTAAATGCGAAGAATATTTTACTAATGACCAGGTTGGCCGAGTGCAAAAGATCTTAACTTGCTCCATCGCAAAAAAAAAAAAAAAAAAAACTAAACTCTAATTTAGTTATTTCTTAGATTTCTCTCTCATAAACTCTAATTGTATACATGCACTTAAGGAAGATAACTAAACTATACTGGTAAAGTTAATCAAAATAACTCTTGCGTTAAAATATGTATTTCAAGCGATTGTTGACCAGATTGGGTAGCTTTGCATGGACAGAGGAAAATTAAGACCCGTTTGAAATGATTTAAGACCCACAACACAAAATCTCCTTTAATTTTAAAATTACGTTATTGAATGGAGATTTTAGGATTCAAGTGTTCACTTACCGATGATGTTTCCTAACGCCCAAACCGCCTGCTCACAGACGTTCTGATGTGGAGAATGCAGCAGCCGCAGGAACAGGGGAACCGCATCTGCGATAATAAAACACTTTCATTACCTAACGTGCAAATCTTTTTACAAACAATCATCGTTCGAAACGCTGTTTTTAACCTCAGGTAAAGATACTTTTCACACCTGTAACACCCAGGGTTTAGGAATGTATGGTGTGAAATGTCTGTTAATGAATAACTATCCTTAGACGAGAATAGGTGTCATTCAATAGTTTTAGGACAACTTAAAGGTTTTGATCTGCTTAAATTGTTGACTTAAGCCTGGTTTATACTTCTGCGTCAAGTGACCGGCGCAACTCACGGCGCAGGCAACGCGCGTGGCTGTGCATTTATACTTCTGCGCGCTGTCTCCGTTGGTCTGCATTAACACTTCCGAAACGCTAGTGGGCAGTGAGGTGTAAATGTTCCTCTGTGTCGAGTTTCTTCGCTTCTGTTTTGCTATTCTGAACACTTCCTGGATGTACAAGTGACTCAAACTCGCTCATTTTGAGGCAGGAACCGGCGGACGTGCAACAACTTTAACCATGAGGTAAACACAGAACAAAACTTTCCATCCGGAGCTCCTTCACGGGACTCCACACTTGTAAACAATCGCTCGCGCCATTCGCGCGGCTCTCGGTCCCGCCCAGACTCGTCGGCGCTAGCAAGCCGACCAATCACAGAGCTTGCGCTACGAGTTGTTGCGACGTGTAGTTAGAATTTTTGAGAGGTGCACGTCAGTGTTGGCGACGGCCACGGCGATGGGCTATGCGTCAGCGCCGTAGCATACGCCGGTGTTTGACGCAGAAGTATAAATCAGCCTTTAAACTATTAACTGTGTGAGAGAGAGAGAGAGAGAGAGAGAGAACTGAGTTTATTGCCATTTCAGTTCCTTTAGTAGTATCTGAATGCAGCCTTGATGATGCAAGCTGAGATTGCATCACTCAGCGATGCAATGTCAGACTCAATGCACTCAATGGAGCGAGTGACGTCACTGTGATAGGTGGGGTTAGGTGAGCGTATTAAAAAGCATTGGATGCAGCTCAGATTGCACTGCACCGAGTCTGCAGCCAGACCCCTCTCGCTTCTTTGGCTGTCATGGCAAAAAAAAAACAGATCAAATTTACCACATTTATAAATACCACTTTTCTATATTTATAAAAAAATATTCTAACAATTAAAAAAGTCAAACTATTAACTGTAAAAATTGATTATAACTATTCAACTATTTGAACTGTTCACCCCTGGTATAGTATGAGCAGTGTCAGGAATGTGATGAGAACATTCCACCACAGATAACCCAGGACTCAGTTTATACAGAGTTTAGATGACTCAGAGTTAAAAATTTCACATGTAAAAGTCCTAACAAACGAAAGTCTTGAACAAACAGTGGCTGAGATGAACTTACTAGATTGTACCACGGCCTGCGTCTGCTCAGACGTCCCGGACGCGATGTTGGTCAGAGCCCAGGCTGCCTCAAACTGCAGAGACGGGCTGCAGAACAGAAACACCAGATCAATACAGATGCAAACCAAACAGAGTCTCATATGATCACATGACACAGGTCTTACTTGTCATCTCTGTCCAGGCAGTGGACCAGGATGGGCAGAATGCCAGACTTGATCAGGTCATCTATGGGAGGGTTGCGGTCACTCGACAGTAGCTTCCTGCAAGTGGCAACAGACAAGATTTACACATGCAAAAAAATCTCTTTCGTTATCACCTGAACCCCTGTGAACAAAGCCAGGACTCCCTTTTATCTCCTTTACACAACAACCTCAAAAAATTATGCAAATCACAGTCCGCCTCTTACAGGTAAGTGGCCTTGACAAACCACCTGCAGAAAACACTCATCTCTGACACTTGCACCAGACACTGTTACAAATTTCCCAATACACCTAAAAAAAATCTCTATATCTGTGCATTTATGAAGTGTGCCTCACACATGCGAGTGGCCTTGACAAACCACCTGTAAAAACCCATTTAAAAAATAAATAAAAAAAACTTCCCTTCTAACTCTAGCACTTTAATCTCGGAGCACTAGGGTGGCACAGTTCTGGAATTCGCTACTAATCGATACTGCAGTTTTAAAAACATCTCCCACTAACATTTGAGCGCTGTTGAGCGTGTTCTTGAACACTGTTGATTTACCACGGTGTTCATGTGCTCAATAGAAATGACTGTGATTGGCCGTGAATGTCATCAGTTTACCGAACTCACCGCTGTTTACCAAGTGTAACCACAGATACAGGGACACTGGAGTGTTTCAAAGTCCCATCAATCCGCTGGTTCTTTTATAAGCTGTCATATGAATGATCTGCTGATGAATCGTGGCTTTAAACTGCTCCAGTGTCCGTTATGGTGTTTACACTCTGTAAACAGCAGTGAGTTTGGTATCCCGATTACATTCACGGACAATTACAGTCATTTCTGTTGAGCACGTTAACCCAATAGCAAATCGGCTGTGTTTTCTAACGTGCTCAAATGTTCTTGGGAAATGGACCTTTTTAAAAAATCAGCATCGATTGGTACCAAATTCCAGTATCGTGACAACACAGAGCACTTACAGTATAGCTGTATAATCAGCCTTTCTTGTGTGTATTGCAATTGTTAGTCGCTTACAAATGTAAATGTTTAGTGCAATAAAGGCTACATGTCCCACTAAACGGCCCATTGCACAATCTCCAGCAAACAAACTAAGCCAAATGAAAGGTAGCTCTTACAAAACACTAGAGAGATGAATAGGAGCAGTTTCTCACCTGGCGGCCTGCACCGCGCTGAGCTGAATGCCCTGGTTATCACTGGTCGCATTCTGCAAACATTCACAATGGTCAATCATTTTGTTATGTAATGCAAGTTTCGATAATGACCTGAATCAGATGTATTCTTCAACAGTCTGTTTTCAGCTAAGAGCTCAAAGGAGTGATAAACAAACAGTGCAAGTCTACAGAAAACAAAAACTCAAAAACTTCATTAAACACTACAGCTTAATATAATAGAGCTAAAATTCTTTGTTTTTCATCATACAACTAAAAGTATTGCCATTTAATTTAAGTATCAATTCACACCATTTACTACTGGCTTATTAGCTGACTACTATCAAGATATGAACTGTTTATTAGCACCTATAAAGTACGATCGTATTCTACATTCCTAATCCTACCCAATACCTACTACCTTACTAGGGGTGTGAACCTACACTGGTCTCGCGGTTCGGTTACGATTATCATGCCATCGATTCGGTTCAATTTGATATCTTGGTGCATCACGGTGCATTGACAATGCTTTCCATACATAAATAGATTTTTTTCTTTACAACACAATTTCTTTTTATTAAAATCTATAAATATATTAATATTTATATATTATTAATAATACAATTTCGTCCTTTAATACAAGCAGTAAGATATGAACTGCACCTTTAAATAGATCTGCTCAAAGAAAACACTTTCTCCAACTCCAACACATGCACAGAAGACAGCATGAGCATTTATATCAAATAAACTAATGTGAATATTATCCCGCTTGGTTTTTTCCCGCCGTCTTACATCCCTATGATCCATCTTCACTTGTTCAACAGAAAGGGCTGTGCTTGGCTTTTAAAAATGAAAGCGTTCTGTGACATCGCGCATAGGAGATAAATGAGGTCAGTACGTAATAACCAGTTATGATCTATTACTGAACCGATATCGAATTGTCCCCACCTGCATCGTGGTGCACCAAAGAAATAATTCATTTGACACCCCTATACCTTACTAACTATAACAAGCAGCTATTTAGTAGTTGAGCTAAAAGTCAGATTTAATAGAATGAATTGTGCATAAGTGACTTAAGAACAATGTACCCCATATTTAATTGCAGGGGGGGGGGTGTTTTTATGTGACCCAGGATTAGTTTTTTCCTATCATCAAAAACCTTAAGGTTAAACAGTTTATTAATAGTACAGCAACATATACTAATCTTGAACATTAAAATGTGGCTTCTTCCAGAATCTAAAACATTGGTATGGCTTTTTAATTCTCGTTTCTTCATCTATGCTAAGCTGCTTTGGCACAATCTACACTGTAAAAGCGCTATAAAATTAAAGACGACTTGTCCACAATTGTGTCCTGTGGAAATAAATGGGTCATGTCTTTTTTAGTAGTGCTGGAAAGCTTTGAGCAGGAAATTCAACGTTTAAATAAGCAGATTGTTTTGATTTAATTGTGACCAGATTAGTTAAGATAGGAAGTTTAACTATTAAGGCTGCACGATATCATTTCAGCATGTTGATCATTCGCAGAAGGCTCATCGTGAGTACACGTCTGGATCATAATTGATCATTTCATAAATGTTTTTTGAGGTCTGTGACTGTGTGAGGGTTTTAAAAGCATTCAGGCATAAGAAATTGAACCATTTGTAACTTTGACAAATTAACAACAACTAATTTTATTATATCGTTTATAAAAGGAAGAATATGCAGTATTATTTTACACTTGATTATTCAAGTACTTTATACCTAAATACAGTTCGACTGCTCTGGAAAACAATACAATTCTGTTTATTTAAATTGCATATTCTTCTTTTGCTGTATTTCTCTATGCTTGTAGATTGTTTGTTATATTTGATGCACTCCCCTGCAAAATTATTCCAATCAATCTAAAATAAACTATTTGGAAGGAATTGGTCAAATTTAACTCATCTAGTGAAACTGTATTTATATCACAATATCTAAAATTCGAAGAACAAAAAATATTGCAATGTTAAATCTCCCACTATCGTGCAGACCTTATAAACATTTTTACATTACTGAAAAAAATAACTCATTGAGACCAAGCATAAAACCCCAATTTAGCCAAAACTGTTTCAAAAGAAGACATCAGGTTAAAGTCATTAAATTAAACTGAAGATAATTATTGGACAATCTGAACTGAAGTAATCAATTGCACAGCTTTAAAGACATTATGAAGAGAAAAAAAAAATAATTAAAAAAAAGCAAGCCACTTTTGCATTTCACGTGATATTATGAACACTAATTCATCAGATAATAAAAACAGAGCTCTGCAGACCTAAAGCAACAAACAAGACTTGTATTGTAAACTTGAGCCAGGCCACACAAGGCTATTCTCTCTCCAAAAATTACACTCAAGCTCCATATGCATGCTTGGATAAATCCCAAATTGCAAATCAAACCATCTAAAACCTCAGGTTTATGTTCGTGTAACTAAAGGAATATCTATTGCATTAATACAAGCTAGCAAACTCATAAGAACTTGTGCCAGGATTCACTGGCAAGCATAATTAAGTGCCATCTGCATTAATATGACAGGGAACATGATTTTGGATTTAAAAATAAAAGACAAGTAGATTTAAAGCAAATAAGTCCGGTCCCAAAATGGAGCCCTGAGGCACCTCACACATAACAGAAGGTTCTCTCGAGAAATATAATGAAGATTAATTTAATATTAATGGTCTAAATTGCCATAATTTTCATTAGGCAACAAAATAAAAACTATTTTTTTGATTTATATGGGAAATAAAAGCCAGACATGTTTTCATGAGAATCACCATTCTCCTTTTTTATTGTATTTTTATGCATTCTATGCCATAAATAAAAACACAAGACTCACCTGCACGATCGCCTCAAGAGAAGTGTTTTGCTATAATTACAAACAATAAGCAATAATTAGTATAAACCCAATTCACTTAAGTGCTTTAGAAACCTCAATTAATCGAGTAACGCAACACTTGCTTACGCTTCTGAAATCTCCAACTGCGTCAGAATCGTCACAGATATCCTCATGTGGGACGTTCCTCCGCTTCAGCAGGTGCTCGTCTCGCTTGTTCTACAGAAAATAAAAATGCAATATTAGGTTCTGGCAACATAAGCCCCAAAAGGAAAAGCCTTTCCTTTTTGGTCAGATTTTGTTCTTCATCTTTGGTGCTTTCACAAACAGCTGATTTTACAAGCATGAACCAGTCTTACCTTTCTGAGTTCCACCACCACTTCTGTCCGCTGTCTTCTCATGGTCTGTACAGGAGAAACCAGAACAATCATTAATGATAATCACAGCATGACACACACACACTCACACTCTTAAAGAGACAGTTCACCCAAAAAACAATTGAAAATATTCTGAAGAATGCTGGTCATTCACTGGAGTATTTTTAGTTCCTATTATTATTGCACAAGATTAATAAGATTGTATAATCAATGTCATATTAAATAAAGAAAACATATAATAGCATTGAGACAGTCGATATGGACTAGGTGTCTGCTCATTGCTAATGCAGCATCAATATAATTTTATTATTACTAGGCCCACATGGAATCTGTGCTTGCAGAAATCCACTGATTATTAGCCCATCGTGGAGTTTATTTACATTTATTCAGTTTTTATTTTCAGTAATATTATTGACTAATATGAAAATGCTCTTCAGATTTATTTACAATACAGTGTGTAAAGTAACATTTTCTGTCTTTTAATAAAAATATTATATGGAAGGCTTGCTTTGTTTACCAAATAAGTGTCTCTAGATGGATTTGCATTGTAAACATTACATAAAAAGTTAGTGTTTATCTAATATATTAAGTTTTTAGTCATTATACTTCAAAAATCACTCAGCATAAATCTGCACACTTGTTACAAAATTCTCAGAAAACAGCAAAAAAGTCAGCAGATTCTGTCTGGTCGTACTTTTTACTTATGCAATTTATTGTAAAGTACGGTGAGCTCTGCGGTGACGTGAATTTCCCTTTGGGATTAATAAAATCTAAAACAAACAATCATAATACAGATTTAAATGGCTTCTTTTTCCAACATTTCGTCAGAATATTTAGTCCTGTTTAACAGAGAATCCTCAAAGTGAGTAGATCAAGAGGAAATCTTTTTTTTGTGAACTTAAGTGCCACCAGCATAAATGACAAGGAGTATGATTTTCAGACTCAAAAATAAAAGACGAGCACAATTAAAGCAAATAATATCGCTCCCAAAACAAAGCCCTGAGGCATACATCTCACACATTAAAAGACGTTTCTCTCTAGAAACACCTTCATTTGCTTCATCTTCAGCTCTGGATATACTATGGATAACAATAAATGCGATTTCCAACATTTATCAGAACATTTAGTTGTGTACAACAGAAGAATTCCAAGTTTAGATCCACTCGTGAGTAAATCTTCATTTTTGTGCGAACTCTTTTTTTAAATAAGCATGTCTACTGTATGTGGATTGCACTTACACAGATATGAGCATTGCAATCATCATCATCATATTTAATCTGTCAAAGTGAAAGATGTTTGAGGAATTCTTCTGAACATATTCTCTTGTCATTCAGACTCAACTCATAAGCTGCACTATAATGGAGGGGATTTGGGTAATACTGTCATGCAGGTCACAGGTGTTAAATTTTGCACGGTAGAGATGAAAATGATCAGGATGAAAATGTCCACCGAATTAAACTGCTGTTAAAATGCATCATAAATATTGTTCACATTTTTTTTGCAAAAATCTAGTAAATCAGCCTCAGTCCTGATCAAAACTACTAAAAGTTTTACAAATTACAGGATTTTAACTCTTTAATTGCCAAATTCACAAATGATGTCAGTGATTTGGTGAAAAAAACAACACAAAATGACGCATTGTCAACATTGGTAGTAGTGAACTGGACTTTTTTTCGTTCACCACAGTCTTGGACATGTGAATGATTAGTAACTACATTGGCCTTGATGCATTGTTAAATTTTTATTTTTCCTCCCTCATTTACTGTTGGCGCTGTTTCTGCCTCAGTCTTTGATTTGTTTACTCCATGTAGTTCTAAGAGCGGAGATGCATATTTAGATTTTTATCAGACAAATCAAGGTAAATGCGTAAACGTCACCCTCACATTCAGACACACACTTTATTTTGCCGTTATACTTTATTAAAATTTAGAAACTAAAGCTTTATTGCCTCCAACAGATGATCAACAATAAAAAGTACAAATAGTTCCTCTTCCCAACAGGGAAAACCACCAACAATCAAGAATGCACGATTATATGCCGTCATGGTTTAATAATCAAAAAATGTGATTATAATGGAAGTCCATGGGGCAAAAACATCCACCAATAGTAGATTTAGGTGATCAAAAACAATGCATCAAAGGTAATGTTGATTTACATGTCACAAGACTGTGATAAAATATAAAATAAAAAGTACACAATTACCTTTTTATGTTGAAAATACCTCATTGTGTGTGTGTGTTTATACCAAATCAGTGATATAACTTATGAATTTGGCCATTAAAGAGTAAAAATTATCTAATTTTCTAAATGTATTAGCCGATTAGCAATTTATGCAAAAAAATAAAAATAAAAAATTTATATATATATATATATATATATATATATATATATATATATATATATATATATATATATATAATCTGATGCATTTTTACAGCAGTTTAATTTAGTGGACGTTTTCATTCCTAACATAACAAAAGGGTAGTCAATTTGAACAGTGCACAAGGGTTAACACCTGCATGACAGCACTTCCTCATCCTGTAATTGTCTAAGCAATTTAGTATTTTGATCAGGACTGAGGTTAATTAACAGATTTATGCAAAAATAAAAAGTGAAATATTAATCTGATGCATTTTTACAGCAGTTTGAATCAGTGAATGTTTTCATCCCCAACAAATCAAATAGGTAGTCAATTTGCCCAGTGTATCGTTGAGGTTTTTTTTTGTTTTTTTTTTCAAAGCATTTTCTCAAAATAAGAAACTCATTCCATTTGCTGAAACAGAGAAAGTTTAGACCAAATTAAGACTTAAAAAAATAATAAATAAATAAAATCACCAGAGTGGATGAAAACATTCCCAGCAGCACACAAAAGTGTTAATCAGAGTCACAATTATATTTATTTTTTTAAATATGCGTCGGAATCAAAGCAATGACCGTACTACTTTACTTTAAAGACAATTTGACCCTGAATAACAAAAAGCCGTCATAAAAGCAAGTTTTCAGAATTTAAAATGTTTATCAGGGCTCAACAATAAAGACCGTCCGGTGGCCCGGAGCCAGCTTGAAAGACGCTCGGGACAGTAGACAGGATTGTTACTGGTCCTTATCGGCTAAAAACGATGAGCACGTTATTTTTTTTTCGGTACCTGGTAATAAGTGCAGTGAAAAGATGGCGACATGGCAGCAACATCAAAATGTGAGGCTAAAAGAAAGCGCCTGTTTCTAAAGTTTTGGAAGCAATTACATGGGTAAAATATAAGGAATCTGGGGAAAAAAAACAAGTTGTCGTCAGTTTGGCAATCCATTTTTATAAAAATAATTTAGAGTTATACTAAAATACCAGCACATTTTCCACACTGCTCTTTCATTTGCTTAAAATCTTGAATTTTGCTCATACATTTAGTAACATTTTCAAAATGCTTAAATTCTAGATTTACAGATATTATTTTGCCACATTATTTATTTACGTGGCCAAGACATAGCTATTAACTATTTATTTTTTGGTGGGGCCAGTGAAAACTTCGGCAGGGCAAGTAAAAATCTCAACCACTGGCCCGATCAGCCCAGTAGAAAAAATCTTAGCGTTGAACTTTGTATATAGTACCTGAAAGCATAAAATTTGTTAGGATAGGCTAGGGCTCAGCCAATAAACTATATTATATCGAATCGTGATAAAATTTATGTCAATAACAATGATAAGATCTTGACGTTTTTACTCTATAATGATCTAAGAGTTAATCACACAGCAGACATGTCCAACTAATGGAAATGAAAAAGTGTGTTGACATTAGAAATGCAGCTAATTTTCAGCCACAGAAAATGTATCAGCCAAAAATATGTTAAGACATTTAATAATTTTCTAACTTTTGAGGCTTCAGTCATTGTTGGGGTACTTTTTTTTTTAATCTAGAAGCATTAAACAACTTATATCGAAATATATATCATTATTGATCAATGTGGAAAATTATCGAGATTACATATTTTGTCATATTGCCCAGCCCTGGGATAGGCCAATATTTGATCCTCAAATATAGACTACTATGAAAATATGAAAACAAATATGCAATCTGTGTCCAAAATATTAAACAAGACGATAAAAACATATTTAAAATAAATAAAGTATACTACAAATCAAAAATTAAGCTATAATATTAGCAGTAAGACCTGTATTTAACTAGAACATGATATTTACTCAATATTTGAGAGATTATTGGCATAAATTAAATATATATAATCTTGACTCATACAATGTGTTGTTGTTGAGTCGCACAAATACACACATGCAACATAAATCATATTTAACGTTATATTATGGTCCAGCATGCAGGGTCACCTATTTAGCCGAGGGAGAGCTGCGGTGAGAGTAGGGCGAGGGTTTGAGTAAATGTGATGCAGACATATCCTCTAGCTCTCAGCTAACACTCTAACATCACAAAATAATGCTCATTCTGAGCATCGAAAACACAGACTATTAATAACATGAGGAAATAATACCACGAACGCACGAGTTTGTCGCAAACACGATGCAGAAACGCGTCTGGAGGATGTTATTGAAGAGCAGGCCAGCTCATGCTAACGCTCACACTAAGAGTAAAGCGAGCTCTCACACCCAATCAGCACACAAACTGAAGCCAAATCCACACACTACCACCCATTCAACCGTTTCCCTGCGTTTATTCCAACATACAGGGATGAAAACACACTTTAATGAGGAGCTGCGACGTGTGTTCGTTAGCTCGCGGGCTAACTCGGCCAACTAGCATCGCGGCTAACACCTCCACAGCGCAAGTTTCCTCCATGTAAACTATCAATTTAATAAGTGAATGCTTCGAACTGAACACATCACGGAGATATGATGATATGCGATATGAGGATTGTACGATTAACCCATAAGTGTGTGTGTGTGTGAGTGAGTGTGTAAATCTGCTCGACGTCACAGCGCGCTTTACCTCCAGATCGCGCCCTTTATTCTTGAAGTTCTTCAGCCGCTGCTTGTCCAGTTTCTCGCTGTCGCTCATGTTTGCTGTTTTGCGTTGCTATAATGTTGAATTTGGAGCTGTTTGTGCTTCTCCGGAGCTGAATGTGTTCGCTCGGCTCTTGTAGATAGATACCGGAATGCTTTATGCTAATGAGGCGCGGTGTATGCTGGGATTGCCGGTGGAGCGGCACCGCCTCGCGGGGGAAAAGAGGGAGCACACACTTAATTTAATATCACTAAATCCTATGATGGTAAAAAAATGATAATAATATTGAGCAATTCCATTGTTAAGGATGTGACATTTTTGCAGTAAAAACTCACATAAACACATAGAGAAAGTCAGTGTTGACATTATATTATAACATCTGTGAATTCTATGAATTAAACTGCACAACTCAACAGAAACTGTGCTAATCAAGAGGACACGAGTTGCTCACTATAAAACAAACATCATTGATTTGATTAAATTTTGCATTTATGAGTGAAACGCTTGGCTATGGATGTGACAGATGTAAAATTGGCACCTATTGTGTGACTTTGGTAAATCAAATATTATAGTTTGAAAACACTGACAGAGACATTTTGGAGTATTTTTACAGTAGTGTCAAAAACAAGCCTAAGCAAACATCGTTGAAAGGGTTTTTTGTTAAAACTCATGTGAAGTTTGACATTTGCATGGAATTCCTCATCATTATTATTATTATAAATATTATAATTAATAATAATAATAATAATAAAGCTTTTGTGCCCTAAAATAAAATCATTTTTGCCCTAAAAATAAATAATTATTGTACTTTATATTCGGTCTCATTAGGCGGCAGCTAGTGTAACCCCTCCAGCCCTGCACCACCCATTTTGTTCCGAGTTGGGATCGAACCGGCGACTCTCCGTATGGGAGTTGGTTGCTCTAACAAGAAGGCTAAAAACAATAGCCTCTAGTATCTAGTGCTAGAGCACCTTTTCAGGTTCAGATGAGTGAGGTTTAACTGCACAGCACCTCACTAGCTGGCCTGTTTGTGTGCTGTGCAGGTAAACCTCACTCCTCTGATCTGTAATGGTGCTCTAGCGACAGTCGATAGAGGCCATGGTCTTTAGCCTCCTTGTTAGCGCAACCGACTTCCATGCGGAAGGTTGCTGGATCGATACCAGCTCGGAGCGGGTTGGGTGGCGTAGAACTGGCGGGGTTACATTAGTGCCGTGACCCGGATGGGTGTGAGGTTTAGGGAATGAGTGTAACGGAGGCCAGCTAGTGAGTGATGTGCAGGTAAACCTCACTTCTCTGACCTCCAAAAGCACTCTAGCGACAGATGCTAGAGACCATGGTCTTTTGCCTCCTTGTTAGAGCAACCGACTCCCATGCGGAAGGTTGCCGGTTCGATACCAGCTCGGAGCAGGATGGGGAGCGTGGGACCGGTGGGGTTACAATAGCACCAATGATACCCCGCTGGTCCTACACACCACCCGACCCACTTCTAGCTGGGATAGAACTAGTGATACTCCGCATGGGAGTCGGCTGTTTTAACGGCCATTCACACAGGGCATCTGCGTCAACCATTTCCATTCACTTTGAATGGGTGACGTCAGACGTTGCTGAACTGCATTGTGGAACCGTCAGCGCCGCTTCAGTGGCGTTGCTCGCTGCAGAAGTTGGGGCTGCGTCTGAAACTGCCAACTGCTCAGTAGGTACTGCTTTTGAATTTAAACGTACTACTCGGCCATTATAAAAGTACACTCTATACAGTATGAATGTGAAAAGTATGAATGGAATTGGGACGTACTACATCTGTCCATTTTTTCATGGTCACGTGACCTACCTGCGTCAGTTGCGTCGCTTTACTGTCATTCATGAATTCGCTCGCGAGGCATCATGGGATAGCGCAGCATGCATGGGATGAGCACTCCGGAATCTCGCCGGAAGTAGTAAGACATCCGGGAACTTCTCGCATAATGATTTTCGAATTCTTTGAATTCAGACATACTACTCAGCTCACAAACCGTGCCAAACCATGATGACCAGCTAAAACCAGCTTGACCAGCCTCGCCAAGCTGGAAGCCCAGCCAAAACCAGCTATGTCCAGGCTGGAAATGGCTGGAAACAAACCTGGAAATGGCCAAAACCTCTCTAAAACCAGCCTGGTCAACCAGCTAAAACTACCCAACCAGCCTAGGCTGGTTTAAGCTGGATTTTTCAGCAGGGATGAAGACAGTAGCTCATTTCAGATGTAAATTACACAATGGACTCTACATTCAGAAAACAAAACATGTTTAGGGGAACAACAAGGGGTAGTGCTCTTAAAAGAGTATGTTTGTAAGCTTATATCAGTATATTTGACAGCTATCCTAATACTATTTTCGCATTATTTGACAGTTGCACTTAATTACCTTAAAAAAATGCGTCTATTATGCCCCCTTGTGGGAAAAAATAAACACCGCAGCTGACTTCTCTCGATGTGGAGGAGGAGCGGCTCTACTCCGAGCTCCTCCCGGGTGACGGAGCTCCTCGAGTCCTCACCCTGTGTGTCCCCCTGCCACCCTGAGAAGGAAACTCATTTCAGCCGCTTGTATCTGAAATCGTGTCCTCTCACGAAGCTTACGAGTCATGATCATAAGAATAAGTATTATGCAAAAGTAATGTGACTAATGGAATGTATAACATGAGAATTTTCCTCTGAAACATTAGAAGGTCTGTTTGCTCTTTATTTTCCCAATTTTTCCGTACACTAAAAAATAATACCCTATATCTACACAATAACATTAAGGCAACAGATAACAAGCAATATTTTTAATTAAAATCAACAAATATGAATTGAGTAACTATTCATTAAATTGCCTAATTTAAAATTAGTCATTTAAAATAAGTAACTGCGATAAGTACTTTAAAAATTAGCACATTTAAATTATAAAAACAAAGTTATTGATTTCATTATTGATCGGCGTAACAGAAAATGATTGTGAATTTGAAAATGCTCATTTTAATCAAGTTGGATTTATTTAATATTTTCTCTATTTTAAATAATTTTAAAAAATAGCTAAATTCTTATAATAAAATTGATTCGATTTGATTACAGACATTTTTAAACAATTTCAAAGCAAAAAAAATGGCGTAAAAACAGGAAATTAATTTATATTTAATGAAGTGCACTATTTAGTTTATCAATGCTGTAAAATGACATTGAAGTCACGTAAACCTTTCACCAGTGGCTAAAACACTTCCGTCTGTCCAATGAAAAAGTGCAAGGAACAAATTAATACATCATAATAATGAATAATCAAAAGTCGCCAAACACTTTAGTTTCCCCTAATTTCTCATGAAAAAATATACAACAAAGTAGGCTAGTCGATATGTTTTCAAGCGCACAGAATGAATTAAATATTTTTTTACAAGGACTCTCATCAATATATATACTTTATTTTTTTGTGCAGGTTCTGATTTTCATTAATTACATTATATTTGTACATTTGTAATGCAATAAAACAATACAAACTGTTCTCAATCATTCTTCATCACACAGTATTTTAATGAACTCGAAAACACTTTAAAATAATGCTCCGTTAGTTAATGTGTTAACTAGCAACAGCAATAAACTATACAATACAGTATTTGTTCAGCTTTGTAAACGTTAACTAAAGTTAACTCATCTGCGGATTTTAATAAAGTATTCATAAATCCTGAACTATGATCAATAAATGCTGTACAACATTGTTCATAGTAAGAAAATATGAATTGGCATGTTGTTAGCATGTTTCCAGTATGAATTAGCTCGATGTTAGCATGTTTCCTGTATGAATGTGCATGTTTCAAGCATGTTTCCAGCGTGAATTAGCATGTCTAACACGTTCCCAGTATGAATTAGCATGTCTAACATGTTTCCAGTAAGAATTAAACATGTCTAACATATTTCCTGTATGAATTTGCATGTTTCAAACATGTTTCTAGTATGAATTAGCATGTTTCTAGCATGTTTTCAGTATGAATTAGCATGTCTAACATATTTCTAGTATGAATTAGCATGCCTAGCATGTTTCCAGTATGAATTAGCATGTCTAACATGTTTCTAGTATGAATTAGCATGTTTCTAGCATGTTTTCAGTATGAATTAGCATGTCTAACATATTTCCTGTATGAATTTGCATGTTTCAAACATGTTTCTAGTAAGAATTAGCATGTTTCCAGCATGTTTTCCAGCATGAATTAGCATGTCTAACATATTTCTAGTATGAATTAGCATGCCTAGCATGTTTCCAGTATGAATTAGCATGTCTAACATGTTCCTAGTATGAATTACCTTGTTTCCAACATGTTTTCCAGCATGAATTAGCATGTCTAACGTATTTCTAGTATGAATTAGCATGTCTAGCATGTTTCCAGTATGAATTAGCATGTCTAACATGTTTATTCATTCATTCATTTTCTTGTCGGCTTATTCCCTTTATTAATCCGGGGTCGCCACAGCGGAATGAACCACCAACTCATCCAGCATGTTTTTACGTAGCGGATGCTCTTACAGCCGCAACCCATCCCTGGGAAACATCCACACACTCACTCATTCACACTCATACACTACGGACAATTTAGCCTACCTAATTCACCTGTACCGCATGTCTTTGGACTGTGGGGGAACCGGAGGAAACCCATGCGAACGCAGGGAGATGTCTAACATGTTTCCAGTATGAATTAGCATGGTGCTAGCATGTTTACAGCATGTTTAAATACTGATGGATCATTATTTCAAAGTGTCGCCCACCCAAAATAGTCTCTCAATCATGTATAAACAGGTTAGACACATCATTTACATTGTTGACCTTGTGTTAATATTTAATATAAACATTCATTCTGTTACTCTTATAGTCTCAGAGAGACAGCAATACGTAAAATAATACACCGACGTCAGATGTGCAGAAGACATCTCTGGACACTGTAAACAAACAACGCAACACTTCTGGCAAATAAATCAGTGATAGAAACATTTTAAAGGGATAGTTCACCCAAAATGGAGAGTTTAGTCATAGTTTTCTCATCCTTGACTAAACCAGTTTCTGCTGTTGAACACAGATACTGAAGAATACTGGTGGAAGACAGACATTGACTTTCATAGTAGGATCTAAAAATACGATGAACGTCAATGGCTGAGTTTCCAACATTTTTCAGAATATATTGTTTATATAACGTTTCCAAACACTTGTGTGTGAGTAAATGATGAGGAAATCTTCATTTTAGTGTGATCTTAAGCGTCATCTGCATAAATATGACAGGGAATATGATTTTAGATTAAAAAATAAAGGACAAGGAGCAGATTTAAAGCAAATAACATCGGTCCCAAAAGCGAGCCCTGAGGCATACCTCCCACATAATGGAGGATTTTCTCTCCAGAAACTCATTCGTTTGCTTCATCTTCAGCTCCTGCTATGGATATCAATGGCTGCCTTTTCCAAAGTTTGTCAGAATATTTAGTTTTGTGTTCAACAGAAGAAAGAAACTCATTGAAGGTTGTGAGTAAATGGCGAGGACATATTATTTTTCAAGTGAACTATCCCTTTATTCAAAATAAGGCAACATACTGTGATTTTACACCTCCACTGATCATACGAGCTGTACATCAGACATATAAATGTGTTTCAGTAATTCAGTCGCACCGTATAGTCCACAGTTTCCTGTATTACAAGCCTCCATAAAAACAGAAAAGCTCTTTAAACACAATGAAACAGATACACTTCACATGGCTGAACACATCAGCGTTGCGTTCAATGAAGAACTGATCAGACACTGGACATGTGATGCACTGTAAAGTGATTAGCTACTTTAAAGATCCTGTGAAGTGCTTTGAAATGTGCAGTTTTTATCTATGTTTGACGTAATCTTAACTGATACATGTTGGGACATAGAGCAGCTCGTCCCCTTTTACAAAAACAGCCAATAGTGTTTTGTTTTCATCACAGCACTGCCACTGCGAGTGGTTGAGCTAAAGCACGTCAAATGAACAGCAAATGAGAAGGGGGCGGGGCATATCAGACACTAGAGAGCATCTGATTGGTCAGAAGATTTGATGAGAAACTGAAGCATAAAAGAAAACTTTTGATCTATGAACAACTCAGGCTCATTCTGATTGTCTTCCTCCATATACATTTCTGGAGAGCACCAAATGCGTCTAAGGGGCTGTTTTTTTTTTTTTTTTTTTTTTTATGTTGTTTTTGTGAATCCACCAGAGGGCGCTGTGTACGCCTTTTCAGATCTCACATTTATCTCACGAGTGCCATTCATGCCTGCTGTTCTCACGTAATTCCACCAGAGGCTGCTGTTGACTGACTGACTGACCCACCCTCTTCCTTCCCTAAACCCAACCAATAGTGTTTTCAAAAGGAATCCAGAAAAAGAAAGCCTTCGCCTGATTTTAACCACGTTTTCAGATTTTACCATGTTCTTACTCTGTTATGTACTTGTTTATCTTATTTTTTGGCTTTTGTTTTTGCTAGGGATGCGCCAATATGGAGTTTTTTGCTGATATCGATAATCGATAACTCTTCAGACTTTGTCGGCCGATAGCTAATATATATATACACGAAATCGTGAATATAGGTCTGTATAATCACCTTGCAATTTTGAAATTATAGCTTTTTTTGCTTTGAGTATAGACTGCTCAGTTAATAAGAGCAGTTCAAACTTTTAAGTTTTTAAAATAAAATAAGTTTTTCACTGTATAACAATATAACATTTTGAAATATTTATGTTCACACATACACAAATATACATACACACACACACATATATATATATATATATATATATATACATATATATACATACATATATATATATATACATATATATACATACATATATATATACATATATATGTATATATACACACACACATACACTGAAAAAATGTCTGTAGAACAATTTATTTGTGTTGAATTTAAGCAAACAAATTAAATTTAGTAATGTTCAACTTAATTTGTTTGTTTAAATCTAGCCCAAACAAATTGTTTACAACCCCTTAACTTAAAATATTTTAGTAAATTCAAGGAATCATCTTTGAATATTTTTTTCAGTGTGTATATATATATATATATATATATATATATATATATATATATATATATATATATATATACTTGAATCGCCGATAGCTCCAGATATTCAGCATGCCAAATATCTCACAGGCATCGGCGACTCATCGGCGATTCTCTCAGATCTCGTCTTTGATAGTTCACACTGTGTGGTTGTCACTCACGAGCACAGATTTGCCTGTGATTTCAGGCATTTGTCGGCGATTTCTCAAACCCTGTCGGCGAGTCAAAATCACGCAGTCTGAACTAGGCATAACTTGTCTCCTCAAACAAATCTTCACTGGACTCAAACCCGGTCGTCACGTTCAACTCCTTGCATCTCAAATCTGCTGCCGTATGAGGCCCCGTTTACACTAATGCGTTTTAGTTTTAAAACGCATAAGTTTTGCTACGGTTACATTATCCGTCCACACTACGCCAAAGTTCTCGAGCGCCGAAAACGGAGCGTTTCGAAAACGCTGGAGAGGCTGTTTTCATTCTGAAACGCAGCTGCTCCGTCTCAGTGTGGATGGGGGAAAACGGAGACATCTGAAAACGGAGGCGGAGCTGCAGACGTTCACCTATCTGATTGGGGCTTTTCCTCAATTTTAAGTAGCCTACACACACAGTCTCGCATCCTCTTCTTGTAAGTTCAGACTTCGCAAGTTTGATCAAGGCTGCAGTCTCCCCCTTCTCAGTTTGATATGGAAAACAGACTATATACCGAGGACACGCGTAAATAAAACGTAAAAATAAAATGTAAACATGATTTAAGGAACTGACTATTTTCATTTTAATATTAGCAACTTAACAGGCAGCAGAAATGTTGAGGCGTCGTGCTGCATATATGAGCGTCATCTTCACTGTGTGCATATTTATAACAAAACGGAGCCGATAACAACTGCCTCCTTTCAATTTCAGTGAAAATACGAAACACAGCCTCTCTTTTGCTGAATATCAGTTTTAATAATCGATAATGGCCATTATAAAAGTATAACATACAATAACTTTATACATTATAGGAAATAAAGGCAAGCGATCAGTCAATGTACATGGATTAATCATCAACTTATCTTTGCGCTCAGCCAAAACACGTTACCTGAGAACAAGTAATAGATTCCAATGACCAAAGTCAGGGAATATGTCGTTAGATAAAGACAACAAGATGAATGAAACATCCCGTTTAGCAAATATAGTGAGATTAGATCCAGCGGGAGATGCTTGATGAGCAGTCCGACCAGCACAGCTCTCATCTGGGTAGAAATGCTGCAGCCTGAGAGTGTGTGTGTGTGGTCACGTCATGTGCGTTTTCAGCGTTTAGGTGTGGATGGAAAGCAGTTCAGAAACGCTGGGTAAAACGCAAGTGTGGACGCGGATCGTTTTCATTCTAAAACGCTGTTTTAAAACTAAAACGCACTAGTGTAAACGGGGCCTGAGACAACCCATGGGCAAACAGTGGGACAGCCGTCCACATGGAGGTAAGCGGTCACCTGGTAGAGCGAAAAGCAACGCCTCATAGCGTTCATTTTGAAGATGAAATGCAGCCATACGTTCCTCTGACAACATCATTCGTGATCTCCATGAATGTTTACAGGGCTCTGTTTTCAGACTGAGCCTATGTTGTTCATTTACACTGTAAAACAAAAACTTTCAATTTTTTTCTCCTTAATTTTAGCGGGAACTCATTTTTACTCAAGTTTATTTGGAAGCATATCTTATCTCATATCTAGTAAAACACTTCACATGTTCTATTGTGTTCATCTGATAATAGAAACTCATAATGGTTTAAAACATTAAGAATATTTGGGTGAACTCTCCCCTTTTTTCATTCATCCAGTCACTCGTTTGCTTGCATGACATCATTATTAGTCTTTATTACCGGCTCTCTTCTTAAACTTGACCACCATGACGGTGATGTTGTCTGGGCATCCGCGGTAGAACGACTGCAGGACGATGCTTTTAGCGCCGAAGTGAGGCTCGTCCAGGCGCTCTTTAATGAAGTGCACGGCCTCCTCGTTGCTGAAGGTGTCCCAGAGGCCGTCTGACGCCAGAATCATGAACTGCGGCTGAAGTGTGTCCAGGTCAAAGGTCATGAGGTCGGGGTCGGGGATCAGCACCTTCAGCTTCTTGAGCGGAAAATCTCCCAGAGAGCGGGACATGGAGAGGACGCCCTGAACCCGCCACGAGCCACTGAAGCTGATGAAGCCTCCTGCGGGTTTATTAACACACAATTACACACAAACACACAAATACATAAACACAAAGCAAATACAAAATTACACACAACAAACAAACACATACAAATACAACACACACACATTACAAACACACACACACAGAGTTATATACGCATACAAATACACATAAAAACACAGACGCACACAACAATACACAAACAGACACAAACAAACTATACACACAAACACAAAATAAACACTTACACACACACACACACACACACACACACATTCAAACAAACACTTACAGACACACACATACAAACAAACAAACAAACACACACACACATATATACATACACACAGACACACAAATACACACAGATGCATACACAAACAGACACACACATATAAATACACATACAAAATATTCAAACAAACAAAACATGGAACTCACTAAATAAACAGATACAAAACACAAATAAATACACAAACACAAAACACACACACACACACGCACATAGAATGTCCTGATCTCGCCACTGATGCTGATGGAGATCTTCACACACATACAAACATTAACACAAACGCAGACACACACAAATATACACACCCACACACACAAATACAAACAGACAAGACACACATATACATACAAAGATGAACATGCACGCACATACATACAAATCACACAAATGCAGACGGACACACATGAATACACACAAACAGACACAAATACATACAAACACACACATACAAACAAATATATATACACAAACAAAAAAAACACACACAAAACATAAATACACAACAAACAAACACACACATACAAATACAAAATACACAAAGAAACATCTCATACGCATACAAATGCACACAAAAACACGCAGACGCACACACAAATTTTTTATCGATTTATTGTTCTGGCAGGGTCGCTTTTAGCTTAGCTTAGCATAATGAATTGAATCGGATTAGACCATTAGCATTTTGTTCGACGAATGTAAAAACAGAGTTTCTATTTAAAGTCTTCTGTCATTACATTGTGTAATAAAACCAATGAAAAATGAAAAATTACTCATTTCTAGGCCAATATTACTAGGAACTATACTCTCATTCTGGTGTAATAGTCAAGAAACTCTGCTGCTGTACCATGACTGCACCAGGCAGAGTTATATTACGCAGCGCGTTAGAACGGGCTACTTTCAGACGGCGCCTTATTAAAATAATCCAGGATTTTCCGGCGATTTCATTACACAATGTAATCACAAAAGACTCTAACTTTAAACAGGAAAATTCTCAAAACTCTTTTTTAAAATGCTAATGGTCTAATCCGATTCAATTCATTATGCTAAGCTAAGCTAAAAGTGATGCTGACAGAACAAGAAATCGGCTGTATGGATTAAAAAATGGTTCAAGTCTACAGTTTAACTTTAGGAGGCTCATAAAATTTGCATTCTTTTAAAAAGGTGGAGTGTTCCTTTATTATGATTATTATTATTATTATTGTTAATAATAATAATAATAACAATAATAAAAGTTATAGTAGTAGTAGTAGTAATAATAATAATAATAACAATAATAATAACAATAATAATAATAATAGTAATAACGATAATAAAAATAATAATAGCAACAGCAAACAACAATAATAATAACAACTACAATTATAATAATAATTATAATAATTAAAATCTCAAAAATACAGACAAAAATAAATAACTTCAGTGGTCTTCAACTGACCTGCCTTCTTGATCCTCTTGCGCTCTTTGAGCTGGTAGGGTTTGTGGTCATGTGACAGCGGGATGGCGTTTCCATCTTTATCACACAGAACTGCTCGTGAATCTCCGACATTTGCTACGGTGAGCTCTTTCTCCGACAGCAGAGCCACCAGACACGTGGTTCCTGATGGAGGAGCAAAACACACGAGCAGATGGAGAAACGCTTCAATACACACCACAAGCAGACAGCAGAGAGCACTGTAGGCTAGTGTTTATCAGCAGATGGCGCTCTAGGCTAGTTTTATAACAGCAGGTGTATATCTAGGCTAGTGTTTAACAGTAGACGGCGCTTTAGGCTAGTATTTAACAGCAGACGCCGCTGTAGGTTAGTTTTTTAATAGTCAATGGCACTGTAGGCTAGTTTATAACAGCAGACAACGGTCTAGGCTAGTGTTTAACGATAGACGGTGCTCTAGGCTAGTTTTGTAAAAGCAGACGGCGCTCTGCACTAATTTTGTAACAACAGATGATGCTTTATGCTTGTTTTTAACAGCAGACGGCGCTCTAGGCTAGTTTTTAACAGCCGACGGCGCTCTAGACTAGTTTTTATAAGCAGACGGCGCTCTAGACTAGTTTTTAACAGCCGACGGCGCTCTAGAATAGTTTTTATAAGCAGACGGCGCTCTAGACTAGTTTTTAACAGCCGACGGCGCTCTAGAATAGTTTTTATAAGCAGACGGCGCTCTATGCTAGTGTTTAACAGCAGAAAATGCTCTAGGCTAGTTTTTATAAGCAGACAACGCTCTAGGCTAGTGTTGAAAACTAGATGGCGCTCTATGCTAGTGTTTATAAGCAGACGACGCTCTAGGCTAGTTTTTAACAGGAGACGGCGCTCTATGCTAGTGTTTAACAGCAGACAACGCTCTATGCTAGTGTTTAACAGCAGACGGCGCTCTAGGCTAGTTTTTAACAACAGACAATGCTCTAGGCTAGTTTTTAACAGCAGACAACGCTCTAGATTAGCTTTTATAAATAGTTGGCGCTCTATGCTAGTGTTTATAAGCAGACAGCACTCTAGGCTAGTTTTTAAACAGGAGACGGCGCTCTATGCTAGTGTTTAACAGCAGACAACGCTCTATGCTAGTGTTTAACAGCAGACAGCGCTCTAAGCTAGTTTTTAAAAGCAGACAATGCTCTAGGTTAGCTTTTATAAGCAGTTGGCGCTCTTGGCTAGTTTTTATAAATAGTTGGCACTCTATGCTAGTGTTTATAAGCAGACGGCGCTCTAGGCTAGTTTTTAACAGGAGACGGTGCTCTATGCTAGTGTTTAACAGCAGACAACACTCTAGGCTAGTGTTTAACAGCAGACGACGCTCTATGCTAGTTTTTAACAACAGACAACACTCTAGGCTAGTGTTTAACAGCAGACAACGCTCTAGGTTAGTTTTCATAAGCAGTTGGCGCTCTAGGCTATTTGTTATTATCAACTGGCGCTTTATGCTAATAATTTTTAGCAAACGACACTCTAGGCTAGTTTTTTATAACAGCTATAGGCTAGTTTTTGACAACAGATGGCACTTTAAGCTAATTTTCAACACAGATGCACAGACTTCACCAGATGATCATGCTTGTAACAGACAAGCGAATCTGTACAGAGCCCTGACGATTGGCTATTTTCCCAGGAAAGTGGGTCTTCCTTTACTATGGCGGCCACAATGAGCATTGCAGTTGTAAAGTCTGTAAATAGTCTCCACATATCAAATCTTTGCTCTGCCCCTGCGCTGAGCTCTCACCTGCTTCATCATAGGATGCCGTCAGTTTCTCCAGAATCTCTCGGTCCATGTTGAGGATCTGCTGTCGGAGGATGGCCTGCCGGCTGACCGCGCTGTTCTCCTTCTGCCGCTCGTAGCGCTGGAGCTGCTGACGCAACATGATGGGCAGATGAGCCTTAGCGTACTCCGCTGCTGCCTGAGAAACACACCACAATTAAACATCTCAATGCAGTGAAACTACACTATATGCCTACCATAAACTGACTAAATGCAAAGATCTGTTTTATAAGAGGTTTAAACAGTTGTGGTGAATATAATCAAACTCTATAAAAAATAATCAATACATTTTTACCATTAATCACTCTTGATAAAATCAGTCTGCAGAAGCACTTTGATTGACATTCTCCCTATGTACGTATCATCAGAGGGGGAAAGCCCCGCCCACTAGTGACCATCTCTCCCTCATTAGCATAAACAGCCCTGAGTGAGCAGCAGACGTCCACCATTAGTTTTCAATCTGCCACTATGCTGACACACAGGCATCTGTAGCTCCGCCCTCTCCTGAAAAGAGCACAATCTCATTTGCATTTAAAGCGACAGTCACCAAAACACCACAATTAGGATCAAAGGCTGAAAGGGTCAGTTTCAGAGAGCTAGAGAACATGATCTGTGTGCTTTTTTGAGCTGAATCTTCACACACACACACACTCTCTAGAGACATCAGATTTGTAAAAACAAGCATGGTAGGTCACATTTAAGCATGTGCTATTATAAGGCAAATTTAAACTTCAGGCTACATTAGAACATTAAAATTCTAATACATTAAAAGTAGGCAGCATATCCGAATAACAACAGCAAACACTTTATCAGCGACCTAAAAGCACAAACATTTCTGTTTTCCCCCCAAATTCCCAAAGTTTATAAATGATCAGCTTAATTGTCTTAATTAATTTATGAAGCTTTTAAACAATTTATATCATCACGATACAGAAACTGCTTTAATAGGTATAATTACAAAAAATAAATAAATAAATAAATACTCAGTGTATTGCTTTATTGCATACACGTTCAGAGAAAATAACAGTGTTAAACAAATTAAATTGCAAAAGTATTAAAAAGTATACTATATAATGCATTAAAGGTGCTGTCTGTCAGTTTTTGACTCTTATAAAGCATAAAAATACTATGTTTGCAGATAATTCAGAAACATGCCAAGTGAACATTCTTGTTTGTCTGAAAAACAATGCTGTATCCCGATATTCTGCTTTGAAAATGTGCAGTTCATGCCAGAACGTCTGTCTTTGTTTTGGTCATTCAACCTGCCCAATGCCAGTTTAGCCAATTATATTCCAGCACCACTGGTTGCCTTGGCAGAAAGCAGCGTATTTCATTCATCTAGTCATGAAGGCTCTTAAAGTATGCATCCACAACCGAAATGGGCCTCCAGTGGCAGACTCCAAAATGAGATGCAGATTCAGAGTTCCACATGAGGTTATTAATTAGCAAAAATTATATAAATATTACGAGCGTGTCCTAACAACATGCCACGTGATGAGATTTGCAGTGATGAGCAGTGTGGCTGTTTGCACCAGACGAAACACGACAGAAATGTAAACACAGCCATTCAGAAACACAGAATTGTGCACTCACTGCACTCCAGCCAAATGGTAAGGTTTATAACCTAATGAATACACATTACACCTCTTTAACATTATTAAATGTAGATGCTGATTCACTGATATGTGTGGGTATCACTAAGCTCTGAAACACAAGACAGTTTATTTTATTTTCCAGATCTGAGGGGAACTATCTGCTGCTGCTTTTAGTGGTATGGCAATAAATGTGATGTAAAATGGCCTTAAAACTCACATTATTAGCATTTAACACTGAATAAAGCTCATGAGCTGTACCTGAGCTGATCATCGTCAGATTTCTGTGGTCATTTTTGAGAAATAGAATCCGTTTTTAAAATAGAGATTTCAGGTGTTGGTTGGGACAAAAACTCTTTTTAGTATGGAAAATATTCCTTCTATCACGAGCCGTTGCTTTAATATAAAACGCGACTTACATCCGCCTTAAATCTGCCTTAAGGCTCACTACACACAGCTGTTGATGTCATCAATCTGGCAACCTGTGCTTGCATGTGTTTTGAACCAGGTGTGCAATACCTATTTCAACCACTGGGGGTCAAACTTACATACTGCACCTTCAAAATCAGCAATGCTGAAGAAGGAAGATTCATTATGCTGTGTTCACACCAGACGCGGAACGCGCGGATAAATCGCACTATTCGCGCGTAAATAGCCGCGTGAACATTTGAGTTTACTCGCTTCATTCACGCGTCAAACCCCGCTTCATTCGCGTGTCAAATTCACTTCAGAACAGACGCGGATTCGCGTGATGGGCACGGCTTCTGTCGGCCCGGTGACTCTAGCTTCATAGCTAAATGGCTAACATGGATTTTATGAAGAAAATAACAGTGTTTATGTGCTTTATGAAGACTGAAAAACAGCGTCGATACGTTTAGGGTCGTGTCTGAGTCCACTACATCCTTTCAGAGGTGCATCCAGCTCTGTGAGCTCATAAACTCCTCCAGAAACTGAACCTGGATGACGGAGGCTTTCAGCGGAGCTTCTGACTGAGCCCAGCCCAGTTTGATGAACTGTTGTCGGTGAAGGCTGGAGGATTTCCCTCGGAACACCGATAACAGGTTCTATGTCACAATCACGCCCCACAAGAGCAAGCTTCTGATTGGTTAACGCAGCGCGAATGTACGCTGAAGTTCAGATTTTCGAATTCGAGAGATTCGCGCGAAACGCTCGTTAAGCCCGTCAAACGCGCAAAATGCTCAATTCGCCCCGCGCCATTCGCGCAATTTGCGTCATTCGCGCCAAGTCATTCGCGCGTATCGCGCAGCAGGATGTCTATTTGTGCTTTTGCATTAACCTAACATGAAAATCACTCGCGATTGACGCGCGTGCCGCATCTGGTGTGAACGCAGCATTACACTTACCAGGGTCATATTAGTCAAAATTAGTCAACTCTTAACTCTGTTACTAAAATAATTATGAATTGTAATCAGATTACGACTACCATTTTTACAATTTTAGATTAATAAAAGCTTTTGTAGTTTTCATTAAATGCACTAATGTTAATAGTTGATGGCACAGTAGGCCAGTTTTGTAACAGCAGACGGATATCTAAGCTAGTGTTAAACAGTAGATGGCGCTCTAGGCTAGTTTTGTAACAGCATACGTATATCTAGGCTAACAGAGTAGTGTTTAATAATCCCTACTGAACAGTTTTACCTTACAACAGACCAATAAATTTATAATCAATATTTCAGCATGCAGTAGGCCAGATTAACATATATTATATATATTATACATATATATTAACATACATTAACATATAAAATATGCACGCTTGAACTACTAAACAATTAAATCAACAAGCATTTCCCTGTTATGAACACATCTGCAAATACAATGTTAATACCCTTAAAAAGCACTCTAAATGTTTAAATTATAATCAAAAACACAGTATTTTGAAGTGCCCATGATATCAATATTGTGCATGTGCATTATTATGATATATTGAATTATTGAATATAGGTTTATGTCTAGAGCGAAGAAGTCTTTAAGAACGCACGCAGTTTAAAGCCAAGCATTGTGCTGTCCAAATAAACCCTGGTAAATATCGCTGTAGTGGCCTGACATGAGATCCTCGCTTAGTGCAGAGGACTGACGAACCTCACAGGAATATTAATTACACACACACACACACACACACACAAACACAAACACACACACACACACACACACACAGACATCAGTGCAGGAAGAGTGAGAGACTGAATCCAGCCGACAGACAGAGAGATGCTGAGCACTTTGTCAGATTTCTGCTCTTCTGTGTCCACAATGACAGAGAGACATTACACTGATCCAGGGTCAGCACTGCAGCTATTCTCTTAAAGGGCACCTATTATGCAAAAATTAATTTTAAAGCGTGTTTAAACCCAGTTGTGTGTCAGCAGTGTGTGAATATAAGCAGCCTCTAATGGTAAACATGTATTAACTGTATTGTTTATAATCAGACTTGATCAAAACAGTCTGCAGAAACACTTTGATTGACATTCTCCCGCTGTACGTATCATCAGAGGGGGAAAGCCCCGCCCACTAGTGCCCATCTCTCCCTCATTAGCATAAACAGCAGCCCTGAGTGAGAAGCAGCCGTCTGTCCATTGTAAAAAATAAGATAATTAAACCATATTAATGCAAAAGAAAGCAGGTAAAAAAACATACAGTGTGATAATATAAGGATGATCGAACACACATGGTTACTGATAGACCCATGAATAATCTGTTAAAGAATGGTTAAAGTGAAAGCAACTGGCGCTGCTTACAATAAGTCAACTCTGGAACTCTTGAAAGCAGCAAGACTGTGGGTGCATGTTCCTCCCTTTTTGTCCATTTGAAAGAGAATCGATCGCATCAGTTGTGTTTCTAGACACAGTTGCTTCACAAAAGGAAACGGGAGCGCGTATGCGTTAAAAAAGTCGCGCGTATCACCTCAGCTGTTAGCGCAAGTGATTGTCCTCTCTTTGCTCGCGAGTGTCTGTCTTACCCGCCACCGCCGAAATCTACCCGCATCTGGTGGGTGTTAACGTAAAGCCCTAACCATACATGATAAATGCGCTATATAAATACACATTACTTACTTGCGTAACCTCATAATTACGGTGTTTATTCATAGTGCCATTATTGAACACACAAACATTGTGAATAACCAGTCGTATGACTTCTGCCCCAGTGTCCACATTTGCCACCTGTTGCTGTTTATGTCTGTTTCTGAAGAATTATTGGTTTTAATGAACATACAAACGTAAACAAAAAAGGGCAAAGGCAAATGTATCAGTAGACAAGTATAGCAGCAAAAGGCAAAGAGAAAAAAAAATCAATAATTAAATAAATGAAAAATAATAATATAATTAAATAAATAAAAATAATAATAATATAATTAATTAAATAAAATAATAATATAATTAAATAAATAAATAATAATAATATAATTACATAAGTAAATAAATAATAATAATATAATTAGATAAATAAAAAAATAATAATAATATAGTTAAATAAATAAAAATAATAATAATAATCTGAAGAACGTTTCTGTATTTTCAGCCATCGCACC